ATTTTTATTTAGGAATAATCGCTAATGATCATTTTTGTTGTTGGTTTGGCAAAAAATACCGTTAGTTAATCAAATTACTCGTTTATTCCTAATACTATACTATTTGAAAATAATAAATAATTTAATTATAAGTTGTAATTTTGTCTAATGACTACTTATGGTTAGGGTGTGTATTTTATTTTGTAATTAGTTTGTACAGCCCAGTGTAAGAAAGAATTTTTTAAATTTTTGTCTTTTTAATTTCTGATTCTAATTGGGTCTAAACAGGATAGACTTTTTTTACCCAATTCTTGTCGCATATATATGCAACTCGCATGCCTTGACGCTGCTATTGATTATTCCTCGCACTCTCTCTCTCTCTCTCTCTCTCTCTCTCTCTCTCTCTCTCTCTCTCTCTCTCTCGATTAATTTACTCCAGGAATCACCCCCCCCCCCGAAACGATCCATAAGAAATTACCGGAAAAAAATCTTGGATAGCGTGCCCACGAGGAAATTACCAACAATTTTACAGGATATTTATAAAAAGAAAAAAAAGAAAAAGATTTTATCTCTGTAATCCCGTATTATTACTTCGCTACGTGAAAATTACATCCCTTCCCAAGTTAGTAAGTTATTAAGAGATTATTAATTCACGTGTAAACAATGTTTGAAACTGCAAACAAATTTGTTTTGCAGTTTGTTTTAATTAAAATTTCTACCATAGCGAAAATAAAGTAACAAATACTGCTATTTTATAATTTTAAAAAACTTTATAAAGTGTACCTATAGAGATTAAATGGGCCATCAAATCTGCACTAAAACGGTATACATTAATTTATGCTGTATTAGATTCCATGCGAACAGTTGAACATATTTGATCATTACTGAACATCTCGGATCTGCGCATTCTCGCTTTATGCTCTCGGTTATGTCTCGCATTTGTTTTATGCTCGCTCATTCCCTTCGTGTCAGCCAGAACAAAAACCTACATGCGCTTTTTGTAAACATAAAAGTTGGGTTACATAAAAATTTAGAATATTTTGAGCTCATTTTTCTGTAAATTCCTGCATGTTTATCTCGTGCTAGGTTAAGTCCTTTCGTTTTTGGTGAATACATCGGTTTATAAATTGCTGTATGTGTTTTCGAACCTGCCGCCGATATTAGTCATGTTTTATTCTCTTAGCAGTTCATTGGGATTTTTGATTTATAGCTTTGGAGGATTTACATTTAGAGTCAAACCTGACTTGTAAACCGTTAATATTTAATCCCTTTGTGGGACTAGATGAACCACCCAACCATCGGCCTTTCTCTTGGCTCAAAAGGTATAAAGCTACTATTGTCCCATCGAGGTTTCTCAGAACCCATGGTTTATTGTTTTTTGTCCGCCTTTCTATCTCGCGCATTTTTGTACGTTCTGGTCGAAACATTAGGTTTGGTTAATAAGTTCATTTGTAGAACCTGCTGCCGATATCAATAATGTACTTAGCCGAAGTATTTGGTATAACTGTAAACTTGTAAACTGTTAACATTTAGTCCCTTTGTGGTACTTAGTTGAGCCATCTCATCCATTACTCTTTCTCTTAGCTGAAAAGCAATGAAGCTACGGGGTTTGTCACAAAACTACCCGCTTCTTCTTTTTCTTTGCTTGCAGTAAGTTTGACAATATTACTTTTGCTTTGATGCCGACCTTTGTTGTCAAACATTTCTGTCTTGTGACTTACATTTCTCTGGTTATTATTATTTTTTTTTTTAATGAATTGAATTTTTTCTTGTGTAGCTTTACAAGATCTGGAAGCTTATAAGGTTGTTGTCGGTTTTGGGTGATCAGATTTTCTGCAGGCAGTTGACGGTTGTTTATTTTGAGTACTTTGCTGGTACTGTTCCTCAATAATGCAACTAATTGAAGTCACGATAGCTCAAGTAGTATAGTATAGGTATATCAAGCCGAAGGTCGTGGGTTCGAATCCCGCTCGTGACACTGATTTTTTTATCTCAACTAAAATCCGTAATTAATTGAATGATATTAATTGGTCAAGCGGACCACGAAAAAAAGTGAATAATGCAACTGCTGCGATGATGCTGTCTTACCATTGAACTTATACTTTCCAAGTGACTGGTAGTTCAAATAGGAAATTGGAGGTTATCGGCGGACACGGATGAACAAGTGGTTTTCTGTAACCTGCTCACTTTTTTTTTTTTTAAGCTGACTTTATCTTTTAACGGGAAGGCTTCCACTGTTACGATGGCCCATACACCATTTGGTTTCAGTAATGACCCATGTTGTGAAGCAGTTCTGTTCTGTCTTATAACTTATAGCTTTACAAGTTGGTTGACTGTAAGCTGGGTTTTTTTTTTTTTTTTTTTTTTTTTTTTTTAAATCCTGGTTCTGGACGCCCTTGAGTGAAATTAAAGTTGTTGTGTGCACAGGGTAAACAAAGTTTTCTGCAGGCAGTTGACGGTTGAATATTTTTGGTACTTAGCTGGTACTGTTCCTCAATGATGTGGCTGTTGTGATGATGCTGTCTTACCATTGAACTTGCAGCTTTCCATGTGACTGTTAGCTCAAATAGGAAATTGGAGGTTATCGGCGGGCACAGATGAACAAGTGGTTTTCTTGTGCGCTGTTACGGATGGGCCTTACACCATTTACTTTCAATAATGACTCAAGCTGTGAAGCAGTACTGTTCCATCTTATAACTTTTAGCTTTACAAGTTGGTTTGCCTGTATGGATGAACATAAAGGATTTCTGCACGTTGTACCATCTGGTTTTTTCCAACTCTACTGATTTTTAAAATCTTGGTTTTCTTGTGCAGCTCCACCAGTTCTGGAAGCTCTCAAGTGATATTAAAGGTTGTTGTATGAGTAGGTATGAACATGGGTTTTCCTAAAGGCCCCAGTTGTGGTGTTGCTGATGTCTCACCATGTAACTTGCAGTTTTCCAAGTGTATGTTAGCTCAAATGGGAAATTGAAGGTTATCGCGGACCCGAATGAACATGTGGTTTCTGCAGGCTTCATGCTTAGGTTTTGCCTTTATTGATGTTGGTCTTTTTAGCTACTTTTGCCCGGTAGCTATTCTCTGGTATGTTTGACCCCGATGCTCTACAAGTTTCTCCTACCTCGAAGGAAATAAAGGCTATTAGGACTTGGATGTTTATCCTCTGTTTTGTTCTTTTGGGACTTAGGTGTTTTCCAAGCATGCTGAACTTGGCTGGAAAGCATTTGTATGCTATCTAACGGTTTTTTAGGAAACTAGTTATTAGTTGGTTCTGTGTGCTGAGAGAGGACAGCACAATAACTCACCCTCTCCTATGCACCCCTCACTATTCAGGGCGCATGTTCGTAATTCATTCTTTTTCATTTCAACTGATCGATACGGGGTACAAATCAAAATCATTACATAATTTCCTTAATCTCGTGAAAAAAATTACCAGGAGGGAAGCGGATCATACCGGGTGGGAGTCGCGGGGCCGTGGACGGGTAAAGTGTCGGCGGGACGTTTTTCGACGCTGTTTTAAGTGCATCCGAGTCAGTGCAAGCAGTCGTAATGAGTCTTCCTGGTTTATCACTATTGACGTGGTGCCTGACCCTCCTTAAGTTGACCGACCTCCCACCGTCCTATCGATTCTAGTCCATATCCGTTTCATATCCGTTTTATTTGTACGTGCTATTTTCCAGGCGGCATGCCCGAGTGCTTTAGGTCTCGCGAGCACCTCGAGGGTGAAATATCGGCCTGCCCTTACGCGACTTTGGCAAATAATTGATTTAGCCCTTCGGTAAGGGCGTTTTTGGAGATGACGTCAGCGGCGTCGCCGCGGCGGTGAAATATCTTTTGTTTTGGCCCTTCCCCTGTTGCATGCTGGGAAAATTATGTGTTTGTGTGCCCTTTGACTTTATGTTAAAGATTGGGTTTGACTCCCGTTGGCACCCCCTGCCAGCCCAATTCCTTCTTCTACTTCTGTGAGTGGTGCGCTTCATAACAAATCAGATTGGAAGTGGAATGGTTTCTTTTTATAATGACGACCAGTTTCATACGCGAGACAAATACTTTTATTAATACTTTGACTATTTGAATTATGTAGCCAGAAAACATGTAATATATTGAAAAGTTTTATTTTTCTAAACTATTGTGATCTTAATAACGAGTATACGAATATAATAAACTTAAATATTTAAAAAAATCGATATTCATATTATAATTCCAAAAAAATGTTATTTTCATTGTCATTTTCTCAAGTAAATATTTTTCTATAGTATTTAAAAAACAAAACAATTTAACTGTGCTCACGACAATAACAATCTGTCATTAACAGGGTTTTTCAAGGTTCATCCCCAAAATTAAACGTGCTTAAATTTGTGATATGACTAGAAATATCTACATAAAATAATATTTGTAATATTCAAAAATTGTAATTTAAAACAAAACAAAGAAAACAATGGAAGATGACAATTCTTTAAACGAGCCTTTAAACTTGTGCAAGAAGAAAAAGCCGGTGGCTGTCGTCGCTCCTTCTTCTGTCGTGGAGGATGAAGACAAAAAAGAAGAGAAAGAATCGGAGAAGAGTGGTTTGGACCAGAGTTCGGAGTCGGACTCCGCGTATAAAAGCGTGTGCAGTATGATAAGGAACCTCGCTCATTCGGAACACAGCCTGCTCCGAGCCATGTACATGGGCGGACTTGTCCATAACAACCTAATAGCCGGGAGAAGTAATCCGTATTATCCATCTTTCATAAATCCGTATTCGGGCCTGCAGTCTGCCTTGTGGCCACCCGGTGGGTTCACGGAGGCCAGGTCTTCTAGTCCAGAAAAGTCACCACCGACAGCACACAGCAAACTGTCTTTAACTGTGCCAAAAATAGACCTCAAACTTCCACAAGTAGCTTCGGCTATTAATATCCCTACGTTAAAACCTTCATGCCAACCTTCTAAAACCAATGATAAAAATTCTAAATCCAATAAATGGTAAATTTGTCAATTGCTTGTTTTATAAAGACATAACTAATCATCTTGTGTGTTTTCAGGCCATCATCTATGGATCACAAGTCTTCTTCATCAGCCAATGAAGGAGCGAAAAGTCAAGACTCAGGCCATACTAGTAATAATCAAGGTAAATATTTTTTTTTGCAATAAAATTTGATCTTATATTTAATATTATATTCAATATTAATTTCACAGAAAAGAAAAAGCCACACATAAAGAAACCACTCAATGCTTTTATGTTATACATGAAAGAAATGAGGGCAAAAGTTGTGGCAGAATGTACATTGAAGGAAAGTGCAGCTATCAACCAAATATTAGGAAGGCGGGTAAGAATCTGGAATAATCTTTATTATTTAAAGTCAAGAAGCAAAAGCAGTATTATAATTTTTTATTTATTTTGTAATTGTAAGCTTAGACTAACTGCTTTTATTTCTTTTTTTAATGTATATATGCATTTAATGTAATTTTTGTTCAGTATGTACATTATTGCAGTTAAATTAATAATCAATTTAAAATTTTGAGTTCAAAGTTAGAATTTAAGGGTTAATCGAAGTTTTTTTGTCTACTTGCTTAATTTTTTTTTTTAGTTAGTCATAAAATGTACTAATTAAAGCTGAAGTATAAAGAAAATTTTTTGCATTAATATTAATTTATCATCATAAAGATTCTGTTGAAAGAATAATATAAATAAAATAGCACAAAATTTGTTAATTAAGTAATTATTTTTTTTAAAGCAATAAGCTGATCCGTTGACTTGTAGTATTTGAAGAAGTTAATTTCGAATTATAATTATTAATTAAATAAAACTATTAGTGTGGTAAGTTGGACGGTGAAATTGAAGGGGCGTGATATGTTTAGTGGCACAGCTTAAGTCGTGAGGAGCAGGCTAAGTATTACGAAAAGGCCCGTATTGAGCGCCAACTACACATGGAGCTGTACCCGGGTTGGAGCGCAAGGGATAATTACGGATATGGAGCTAAGAAGAAGAAAAGAAAGAAAGAGCGGGTTACCATCACAGATTCTGGAGGTAGACCTCCGAAACACACCTTTACCACCTTCACCTAAAGTTTATATAACAGGAAGGCCAAACCTCATTGATTTATTATTTTACTTTATTTTTATTTCATTGAAATACGAGGTTTTTCCTGTATATAAACTAAACCGAGAACCTTCCTTAACTGTATAAAATAGAGCATTTGATTTTTCTAACACAACTTCATTTTTCTATTAACAAAAAAAATGTTCTACTTTATACCTTCCTTAAATCGCCACACCTTAAGTTATCTATTTTATTAATAGCACTTTGTGATACATTGTGTGAACACTAATAATGTCACAAGTATTATTGAAGCCATGTAGATATCTAGAGGTCCAACATTTACCACAAATTTGTATTTATAGCTTTTATGTGGATGTATTGTGAGGAACTTAATGTAACTATTTGAAATTCAGTGACATTGATTAGGTGATTTCTTCTGTTTAAAAAATATATTTATAAAAGAGAGAAAAAGAAAATCTTAGCTGTTACAAGAGTCGCACAAAAATATCACATTTTGCTATTGTGCAGTTAATATTTTTGAAGCAGTGGCTTTTTAAAGTAAAAAATCGGTCATTCGAGAGTGCTGACTTGGTGCTACCCGTGTGGGCAAATGTTAAAGCCCCCTTACAGCAAATTCATGTACAGCAAATTGGCCATCAAACGCTCCTATGAAATCCCACAACCCTTCCTACTCTGTGCCGTTCACAAACATTTCTTTCACACTCCAGAGGTATAGGATAACCCGCGAAATTAGGGAGAGAGAGAGAAAGAAAAAAAAATAAAGACAGAACAACTTATTTGTATTCAAATGTTATAATATTAGTCGAGTCTAATGGGAAACGTATTTGTTTGACCTCTGTAGTGGCATGCCCTCGGGCGAGAAGAACAGGCCAAGTATTATGAACTGGCCCGTAGAGAACGACAGCTGCATATGCAGCTCTACCCTGATTGGTCAAGCCGAGCCAATACTACACGCGGAAAGAAGAGGAAACGAAAGCAAGAGCCCAATGATGGAGGTACAAGACCCCCTCCCTAATGCGCAATTTTTTGCTCTAGCTTGTTTTGTTGACGGTTATCGTTATTACATTATCTATTTATATTTTCTATTTTTTCTTCTCTTTGAACATCCTCAACCTGAACCATCACCTCTTCCTATCCCGAAGCACGAAAAATTGACTCTGTGAAACATGGCCATTAATACAAATAAAATTAATAAGGATCTTAAATACAGATCATGATTATTGAATTTGGAATATTCACATTTGAAATTGATTCGAATGTTTAGGACTTATTATAATGTACAGAGTCAGTTGTCCAACCTACATTTGCTTCTTTTAAAGGGGTGTTTGCTGGCTGTTTGCATGTTTTCATTTTATATGGAAATGTACCGAAATTATTGTATATTATTCAATAAATTTCTTAAGGCTCTCAGTTTTGTTTGGACACTGCTGAATAATACCAAGCAGTGATAATTTGGTCAGTATTAATTACAATAAATTAAACAAAATGCTTGCTATTATGTTGTAAATGTGTGTGACACAATGATAAAAAATGATTGTCAAAAAATTGGTTTTAACACTACTTGTGTAATATTTTTGTTTTATAAATTCCTAATAGCAAGCATTGATCCATGGAGGAAAAGTGCATATAGCAGTACCACTCGAGTGACCAATTTTATTTTTCCCATTGTATTTTGTTTACCTAAAATAAAAACCTGCTTCAGTAGAATCCCAAAAGACCCCGTTATGCATGACATTTTAATTATAATAAATGTTATTAAACAATTTAAAAACGAGCATGCTTTGTCTATATCAGTTTACTAATCGCATGGAAATAAAATGGTATGATTCTATTTTAGCTGCAAGTTAACTTGGTCGATAGAAATTTTATTGTTTCATTGTAATGTACTAAAACGTGTTTTAATTATTTTAGGTAACTCGATGAAGAAATGTAGAGCAAGGTATGGCCTTGATCAACAAAGTCAATGGTGCAAACCATGCAGGTAAGATACTAAATCATAATCTTCTAAATAATTCATTCAATGTTTTTTCATTAAATTAAAATATTATTGAACTGATAAACTGAAAAGGGTTTTGGCAGTATTCAAATGTGTTCAAATCAAATTTGTGGTTAATTTATCTTATTAGATTTATTTTATATAAGAATATATAAATATAATACACTCCAAAACCCTTTTAAAACTTTAAAGGAGATTAGTACAAATTTAAAGTTAAATGTTTTACTTGTATTTAATGAGTTTAAACAATGGTATGTTTGGTGTGGTTTTTGGTTAGCCCTGACCTAGGCGCACAAGCCCTAGGCCCTGCTTCTCTAGTCCATGCCAGTTTTGGCGCCAACAATGCCGCGAGTCCTCAAGAACCTACTTATGTAAATCTCTAGGACACAATTCTCCTTGGAAATCCGTTTGTGAGTCACGCGCTGAAACTTGTTTTTTTGATGTCGTTTGTGCTTGTATTTTTTAATTTGTGTGAGTTTTATCTTATCAAAATACAAAAGGTTTTGTTTAAGCGAGTTTAGTGCACGATTTTTGCTCATATTGCTTTCCAATCCACTACACGAGTTAGATGGCCGACGCAAATTAATTATTTTTTCTTTCCGTTAGAAGAATTTTTTATTTCTAATTATTAAATCTTCATTGGTAATATATTCCACCCTCATTCCACGCCCGCCATAATTTATTTTCGTTTTAGATTATAATTTTCAACACTCATATTTTAGAATTGCTATGCTTTTCTTTTATCTAATCATTTTAATTTACTTCTTTTTTGTTTCATTATTCTTATACCTGCATTTCACTTGTAGCTATAGGTTTTTAGATTTTTTTCATGTATATTATACTATTACGTACCTAGTAGTGTTTACATCGAATGATTCTTAATATAAATAAATTAAGGAATATAGAACCTTTTAGAATTGAAACCAATATTCCACTTCAGCATTTAAAAAAAAAAATTGTTCTCAAGAATTGAATAGATAATTTTTATACAAAATATTTCACACAACAAACGCAATTTGATCTTTACTGATCATCTTGGTCTGGCTAATCTCTTTAACCTATGGGTTGGTCTGTCAGATGCGTTTTGGCATTTTATCTTCTCAGTGTTGCATCTGCCTGAAGCAAAAACAACACCGAAGATGTCGAAATGATGAAACGCGTCTGATTTAACCAGCCCGGTGAGGATAGAGCAAAATGATCGTCAAGATTCATCACCCCCTCAGACCATAGAATGAGCCATTTAACCTCAAAAAAATTCAGAATTATTATTTATATTTTATTTTTTTATATCTTCTCATTAATTTCAAGATCATAATATTTTAATCTTTTGTAATTTATTGCACGAATTTATCTCACCAAATATGCAAAGACAAAACTTACAGATTTGTTGAGCTGTGAAAACCGAAAGATGCTTCTTTAGTGGACTGATTTTTCCTTAATTTTCTATTTCGCCTTATTATTTTCATAACAACTTTGTTTTTGTTTTTAATTGGATTTTACAATTATAGAAATAAAATAGAGTAGCTTTTTCATTTTATTTTTTAAACACTAAAATGTTTTATGTGCTTTGTTTACTATTGATGTGCTGAGTGATGTGTGTATTTAAACAATTTTATTATTACATTTTTATTGTATTCCCACTTTTTTAATGCATGGTTTTTCAGAAGTATTTCAAAGAAAATAATTTATTGTTTATTTTTAGGCGTAAGAAGAAATGCATTCGGTACAAGGAATGTGGAGATGATGGGACCCAATCAGAGGACAATCTTGGTAGCTGTGGGAGTATAGGTGAATCTGGAACTCCACCGGATGATGATGGAGAATCCTATAACCAGTCGAGTTCAAGCCCTGGTGGCCTGAGCGCTCTCTCGAGCCTCACGAGCCCGTCTATGATCCTGCCTAGCCCTTCGGCGAGCCTCGCCAGCCCGTCAGTGAGCCTCGCCAGCCCTTGTATGAGTCTGCAAAGCCCGCTTACACCTCATACGTTGGACTATGATACTAAACCTTCCCTCCCGAGTCTACCTCTCCACAACCTTGTCCAGCCGCACAGAAACCCTGTTGGGACTAATCCGCACGACATAAACAATCCGCTGAGTGTGAACCAACTGACAGGAAAGTGCATAAAAAACTCAAGTTCGTCTTCTCCTCCAAGTTCCACGTCGGGGAAGGAGACGTCGCGAACTGTGATTAGTGTACCGTAGCATTGGGGTAAGGAGCGTTAGGTCGCTCCGCCCGCATCCCCATTTCATGTCTTTTTTGAAATCTATCATACTTGGTGTGTTCGTAATTCCTTTTTTATAATTGAAATAATTTTTCTTTTTAATTATTTTTAATTGTAAACAATTTGCACAAATGTTTTTTTGTTTTTTTAAATTGTAAATATATAACATTCCAAAAGAATTTCGGTGAACAATCAAGTATATAGACGGGGATGTGAAAACATGCAAAAACTTTTATGAAAGATATGTGATTTTGTTATAGATGTTGCATAAGTGGAAAATTTGTATAATAATGAACATAAATCAAGATACTTTATGATAAATAGGAGTAAGTGCAATTTGTAGTTTCTGTGTCAAAAAGTGTTGAGTGTTAATCTTTATAGTTTAAGAAAAAAATTGTTTTGTTATATTTTTATTTCTTTTTTCATTTTTTCTTTTACTTAAAAAATAATTTAAAAAATGTTTAAAAGATATGACACGAGTCAGACTAACAGAATACTCAGGATGGCGTTGAAAACAGTTCTTATGTTTTCCAGTGACAAAGCGAACTTATTTTGTACTACCATTTATCGCTGCCTCTTTGTAACGCCGAGGTTTGTATTTTTTTTATATATATAAACCATCAGTTTTTCGTTAAGAGCTACTGAGATCTCTTTACATTATGTTCCTTTGTGCCACAATTAGATTGAATAGTTTAAGCAATATTTCCTTGGTTAGTAATAGTAGCAATGCAGTCTTACTTCATGCATAGAACTTGTCTTATTGAGCCTATCTTATATCAAATTAATTGTGATAAATATATTTATCTATGTAAAATAAAATAATTGTCTTGCAAAGTTTAATAAAAAAAAAGAAAAATTCTCATTAAAATGTTGTAATTCTGTGCTGTTATTGTTACACTTTGTAATTTTTTTCAGTATTTTTTTGTTTTTTTGTCAATGAATAAATTTTTTTCTAATATTGATTTGATTAGTCCTTGATGGATGATTGCAAGGCATTGACTGATGGTAGGCAAATTAGCTTGTTGTATAATTTTTATTTATAAATTAGGATTTAATAAATGTCCAAATGCTATAAAATATGCAAGAGAATTGGTGTGATATTTGTAACAGTAAATTAATTTATTTTGTAAACTTTTTTTTATAATTACTGACAAGTCAAAACCCTTGGTAGAGCCTTAATAAATTGTAAACAAAAAGACTAAAATTTGTCTCTGGTTAGTCGAGTAGTAATTGTTTGTTTACATGTTTGGTATTTCACTGAAATGTACTTATTTGCATTTGGTGCATTTGAAATTTAATAATTACTGTTAAAACATACTTTTTTTAATGTTTAATAGCGGCTATAACAGATATTTGTATGAAAAAGTTTTTGATAACACACTTGTATTGTATAAAGTTTGCAAATATTGTGTTTGATTCAGTTGGCTCGCATTCACGCCGATGCCAATGCTTTTCAACATGCCTCCTGTACAGGTGCAAAATAAATTACTTGTTCAATTATTTTTTTCTTTTCTTTTTTACTTTAACAAAAAATCCATTTTTCTATTGTAATTACTTTCATTTATATAAGGACATAATGGCATTAAAACAGACTCTTGACTGCAAAGATACCTTTGGGCTTTGAAATTATGGTGCAATCCAATATTTCAACAATTTTTGTAATTAATGCAGGTGCTTTTTTTGTGTGTCCTGTTAAACTGTTAGTTATTGTTATTGAAGATATGTTATAGCCAAATTAGTATTGTCATTCTGACCATTGCATTGTAAGTATATGTAGAAAGTGTATAGAACTTTTGTCTCTCATCGATTTTTAAAGTGCCAACATTAATTTAGATTAGCAATTTATAACAATAAGAATCCATGACCTCAATGTGACATTAGAAGGTATTAATAAATGTACACTTGCATCTCAATTGCAAATATATGTTATTTCATTAATCATATAAATCAACGAGTACTTTTAAATTTAAGTGTGTAAAATGAAGAAAAAAAAAATCTCAGAAAAATTGTAATTTTTTTACTCAACCTCTATTTCTACTAAATATTAATTACAATCTTAAATAGCATCTAAATAATTTATTTAAAAGAAATTGCATTATTGTAATTACTTGAATTGTCAAATAGCGAATGTACAAAACCATTTTACATTTTGTATGTACAGTTTATTCTTACAAGATTTTATTTAGTTAAAAACCTTTATTTATGTGTTTATATAAAAGCAAAATGTTATATATTTTATTGTAAATTTCATTTGAACAAAGTTTGTTTTAGATTGTATACAAGTTTTATTTAGTAAAAGATGAAAAGGAACAAACAAACCTGAATTTTTAATTGCTTTAAAAGCTAGATGTGTTCTGAAATATTGTAAAGAAATAAATTAATTTCTTAAAAGATATATTCTGAATTTATTGTATTATTGGATAGTAAATCTAAATTCCTACCAACCATTCTATAAAGGTAAGTCAGGTAATATAGGCGCATCATCCTGTTCATTATTTTTGGAAAAAATGAGGCCCCAGGCCCTGATAAGTCAGGTTATTTGATCAAGTAACAAATTTCTAATCTTAAAGATCAAGAATCTCTAATCAAAAGAATCAGGCAAAGGCTGGATGGACTTCACGCAAAGAAGATGCAACCAAAATCGTTCACTGGATAGGTGCTCATTGTCCCACTGACCCCACAATGTAAATGTGAACTGTGCTCCCTAATAAGAATTACAATTAATATCTACCCACACTAGTGGTTCTGGTTTCGAATCCCGGCGTAGCTTTTTAATTGCTCGTAGTATGAAAAAAGTACTGCAAATTGGTTGTCCATGAAACCCACCATGTCGTTAAACAAATCTATAATATGCCCATGACAGAATTTTTTTATTTTTATTTTATTTTATTTATTTATTTATTTTTTTTTTTAAATGAGGGTTTGCAACATGACCAGAACTTTTTTTTTTTGGGGGGGGGGAATGGTTAAGTATAGTTGTACAACGTCACCACTCACTCTAATAAATAATGCATTCAAACAAACCTAATGACAAAACACAGAATATAACTATATACCGTGAAAAATCCCACATTATCTAAAAAACGGAACAGGTGACCCAAAACCGACTGCTGTGCTCGAGAACCATTCTTAAATCCTGCAGCATGCCTACATGCCCTATATATGGAGCCAAGGCATGATATGCCTCTATTATGTGGTGCACACGGGGGCTTTCGCCCAAAAGCAGGTGACTGTGTGTCAACCATGTATGGCGAATCTTCAATTGGGTGAGGACAATCTCTCGTCTCCGGCTCAGTTTCTCTCAGGGCAATCTACTGGTCATGCTCTTGACTCGTAATAGTCCCTACTGACACTGCTATCTATTTTTTTTTTATATAACTTTCCTTTAAGGAAAGCTAACTTATGGCCTTATGTTAATTATATTAGCCAATGGTTATAATTATGGATAATTTTATTTAAGAAAAAGCATTATCTTATTTTTACGTCTGTTATATTATGATTTTGTTGCGGTAAATGTATTTAATTAAGGGTTCAATTATATCTCATCTGTGAGAGTAACATAGGAGATTGGACACTGAGATGGGAAGAGGTATGCCGGCCATAAACAGCGATTTGTAAAATGCTTCTCTGCCGTAGGCAGTAAGAGGGCACTCAAGAAGGACGTGGTTGGCATTGGCCACTACTAACTTGTTGCAGGAGCAGTAAGGGGAATTAAGGATTTTGATTTTATAAAGGTGGACAGGTAGACTATTGTGGTTTAGTCGGAGACAGATTATGGAAGTAAGGGATTGTCGGGGATAATTCATAGAACAGAACCACGAGAAGGGGGGGGGTATGAATTAATTTGTAAACCTTGGCATTACTTGTGGAGCTAAACTCCCTTTGCCAAGATCTCAAGGAGTGCCTATACAAATGAGATCTAATATCTCCAACCGAAATGAAAAACTGCAAAGGATCAGATATGGCTGCTTCTTTAGCCAGTCTATCAGCTTCATCGTTGTGAACATTGTCATTATGTCCTTTTACCCAGATTATATGAATGTTAGTGTTGGAGGTTTTTAACTGACATATTAAATTGAAAATCTGTGAGGATGAAGTGATTGATTGGCTTTAAGGATACTGTGAAGGGAATGGACCACACTTTGGCTGTCAGAGAATATAATTAAGTGCTACCTTTCATGTATCATATTTTTTTCTGCAAGCTTAGGATCAGAGGACCTGATCGTGATGGGCCGGTCTAGAGGGTGTGATGTCCAAGCTTTTGCTGCCTCGTCCACATGTTTGTTACCCTCTAGGCTGAAGTGTCCAGGAGGAACTCTGACAACCACCATTTTTTTCGAGACACTCCAGCTTGGCATATTTCCCTAATAAGAGCAATAAGAGAGGGAGGGTCCTCAGAGAACCTGTTTCATATATCCCAGACAGCGCACAGAGAGTTGGTATGTACAAGGATGGCAAAGCCCTCCTCGGTCCATACCATCTGGAGAGTGTGCCCAATCACAAGCAGCTCCACCATATATATGCTGCAATGAGGGGTAACGACCAGAAGGTGGTCATTCCCTCTACTCAGCACACACCACACCATCACCGGTCTTGGACCTGTGTGAAAACCGGCGAATCTATTTCCAAGTTTAAGGAACTTAGGTATGGCAGAGTACTCGATTTAGCCTAGTTCGCCAGATTGTTGCAGACGAGTACAGCCTGAAAGGTCCAAGGGGCTATCGGCAGGTTGCCCAGCCAAAGCACAATCCCAGCGCCAATCCGGCCCTCCATAAGGCCTCACTGAAGCAAATTCCAAGGGGTCGCGTATGTGAGCGAAGCATGTCTTATACAACTCTGTTCAGGCACATGAGGATCGTCCTATCGTAGCAAGTGGGTTGGCTAAGAACCCAGACGCGGAACCAAGGGTAAGCTGCTCTTTCCAAAGTTAAGGAAGCAAGACAACCCAGCTCGCAGCAAAGACTGTTGAGGTGCTGGTCTTGAACACTCCCAAGATCGCTCTGAGACCCCTGACAGTAAAGCCTACCAACCTTTCTCAGGTGCGTTTTTTGGGCCAAGGAGTAAGCCATACATCTGATAAGATCCCTGAACAAAAAGCAAATCAAACATTTTTAACAGGTTCTCCCTGTTCGCTTCCCACCAGTACAAGGGTTGTCTTGCTCTGGACGTCGATGGTGTTAATATCTGCCTGCCATCTCAATGTTTCATCAAATAGGCCAAGAAATGCACCATCTTTACACACTGCACAGGTGTGCTCCTGAGGCAGAGTTGAGCCAATCTACTAGACAACAACCATTTTCAACATGGAGAAAGTAAACCCAGTTTCCTCGGTTATCGCAGCTACAACGTTTATCGCCGACTGTATCCTATCACCGAATGCACTAGATCCTTATGAGAATGGTAGAAACATAGGTTGTCAAGGAAATGTGGCAATTTTACTCTTAGACTGAAATCGTGACATTTCCGCAGGATTTCGTCTTTCCATGTCATCACGTCATCCTTCTCGAGGTCGAAGAACATATTCTGTTCAAAAACCTATCCTGAAGGTCGCCCTCGAGAAGAGAGGCAAACCCACTGCGGAGCTATGCCTACAGAAAACTTTGGGCAAGTCAAAAATCACATGTTTTGCAATATTAATATTTATTATTTGGACTTTCACCCTGAAGGATTGTCACTCCTCGATGTGCTGACTTAGTGTCTATACATCAAGAAGTTCATCCGCCCCATTATTTGGCTGGGTCGCTAGTATCCCCTTTAAGCCAAATGCCCTAGAGATCACCGCTTCCTTACCAAAAGAATGCAAAATATTTCACAACCGATTAGAATACAAACTAAGAACCATGAAATAAGCGATAAACCTGATTAGGAAAAATAATACTATAATACCAGAATAAACTTGATTGAGAAAAGTATTCCAAAGGACTAGCAACAAATAAAACTCAGGAAAAAATATAGAACTAATATGGAACAGGATTCACACCACAAACCAATAAATATAATCAAAACCTCTCAACGAACATTAAAAAATATACATCTACACAAAATACATACATGAAAAACTTTAAAAATGGAGCAAGATTATAAAGAAGAAATAGCATAATCAGTAAGAACCAAAATGAGATGGAAATGGCCTTTTCTGAAATGTATCTTATCCATTATTAAAACTTGATAATCACAAGTTAAGTAAGTAAAAGGGGTATTATTTTCGTAAGAAAAAAATAATATACCAACCAAAAATTAGCAAGTTATTAATTATTTTAGTTGGTGTCTTCTTTATTCTTTTAACATATTTAATATTATTTAAGATACTAGAGAAGAGTGTCTTTAAGTAATATTAAATGAGACAGTAACCATTATGTTATTTACTACAAATATAAGTTTATCATATATGCTAATTACTGATTTATACAAGCTCAAATTTGTACATGCATACACATGTATAAAGAGTTGAGCCTTTCACTTCCTGTGGTCCACCTTCAATTCCAGCTTTTGTAATTTACAATAAATTACTGGTAGGTCTCAAGAATTACCCACCTTAGCTGGGGGTAAGCCATGAGCCTGGGGGATACTAACAGGTAGGTCATTTAGCCTCCAATGCAATTATTTCCTAAATACAAACTCATTCACATTCTCTCACTCTTAAATACATTCTTTTTATTTACACACCATTCACTCAGTTTAAAAGATTGGTTCTATAATCAGGTTGTAAAGTTAGTCACTCTAGAAATCCTAAAGTTTTATTTGCTTTAGCAATAATTTTATTAACGTGTATATGAAAGTTTATCTGAGTGTCAATAATGATGCCAAGAATTTTAAGGAACGAGTTTGATACAGCGTACTTAAATTTGATAGATTTTTTGGAAAGTCATAACTGAACATTTGTCAGAATTAATTATACTTTTAATCTAAAGTCTTGGTTGAAATGAAAAAGTGGCACGAGCAGGATTTGAACCCACGATCTTTGGATTAAATTTGTCAGAATTTAAAAGAATATTTTTAGTTGAACACTATTTATTAGGTTTTACTAAGGCATGTTGAAGTTGTAAGCAACCAGAAACAGAATTAATCACTAAAAATACTAATTAATATTTATATTATTATTTATAATACATTATTTAATAACACTCCCACACAGTCAAGTATCTACTTTATAAATTATGTTCCTGAAGAATTAGAGTTTTGTATTAAGTAAATTAGTTTTATTTTTATATTATAATGATAAATAATAAAAAATTTTAAAATATTTAATTCCCTTGGAGAGGGATAATTTGTTTAGAAACTGGTTGAACTGGTAGCATGAGCAAGAAACAGTAAACACAAATATAAACAAGTAGACAAGCACGTTGGAGGTGGTTGATGTGTAATTTGTATTTTTAATTGTATTTATTATTTTTAACGAAAATGTCTCAGCGAGATTCTTGTGTAATAAACAAAGTGCTGAAAGGAAATAGTCTGCTTACTCCGAATATAAGTAAGGCAAAATTATTATAATATTTTTGATTTTTTATTTCATTTCAACTTAATTCTTCTCTTATATTAAGAGATTAATCTCAGATATCTTTGGTCTCGAAATGCTGTTTTTTTAAAGTGTCGATAGCCAAAATCAGATTTATCAACTTCATTAAAAAATTTACTGAATATAATTCAGCTAAATATGCACAAAATAATTTTATTTTTACTTAATTAATCAATATATTTTTATGTAATTCTTTTCTAATGTTAATTACATAATTTTTAAAAATGTGCTATATTATTATACACATTAATATTGATTCTTTTTACACACATTTTACATTTTTCAGGTATATATATGAAATATTCTTTTAAGCTATTTTCTTATTTTACGTATTATTTAATATTTAAGTAATTTTTTCCTTTGTTTTCTTATTCTTAGTTTTGCTTTTATATTGTTATATTTTTTATATTGTGTATTTCTATATTTAAACATTTTTGTAAATTAGGCTAATTCCATAAACTGTATTATTAAAATTCAATTTATAACAGAATTTTAATTAATTTTAATAATAAAATTTCCAGTTAGCTTTGATTATGGCGCCCTGACAAAGCAAGATGTTCCCAGTATTCAGTGTGAAATGTATGTCGACAAAGAAAATATGACCGACAAGACACTTGCTTTATCGAAGCAGAGCAAACGTTACATGGGAAAGCCCGAAAACATTCAAAACGCTCTGTGCCAGACTATTCTTCTTATAAGGAATAAGAAGACGAACGAGGCAAGTATTAAAAGACAATTTTAAACTAAAATTTATAATAAGTAGTGTCTCAAGCGGGATTCGAACCCATGACTAGGGTTGACTTAACTATTGAGCTGATTGTGGGTTTGAATCCCGTTTCTGACACTAGTTTTTTCATCTCAACCCACTACCTTAGATTAAAATTATAATTAATCAAAATAATGTTGTTAATCATATATGGATTTATTATAAGTGTTTTCATTTAGGCCAGGGTTATACCCTTCGAATCGTGCACTCTTTTAAACATAAATCCAAAAAAGAGAAAATTGATGGCGGAATCTTTCAACATACAATTGAACTACAAAGATGGCATAAATACTCTTTCGAAAGCGTTTGGTTCAAAAAAATCTAAACGTATAACAGAAATGCAACAAAGAATGGATCGTACCAACCAAATGATAGAAGCTGACATGACCCAGGAAATGGGAGGTTTGTTTCAAAAATTCCAAATCATGCTCTATAACTTACAACTAACATTAATATTGATTTAATGACTAGATGTACATTGACGTTGGATTGTGGGATGTGCAGTCATATGTACATAAAATACAGAGTAGTGCTCAATTCTTTATTTTCCCAACGTTTCATGGTTTTCATTCTTTTTCAAGGCAATGCTGGAATAAAGGTAGAGCATAAAGGTGCATTAAAATTGTAGCTGTAATTCATTTCGAAGAACTCTTCAGTTTTTCCTTTTTTTTCCATGCCGGTACTACTATAATTACGTGTCAAGGGCTTTAATTTGGTGCACTTTTTTAGTTGGAAATCTTTTACTTAGTTTCAAAAGAAGGTTGAAATTGGATGAGACTGAAAGGAGTAAAAGATTTCCAACCAAAAAGTGCATCAAATTAAAGCCCTTAACAAGTAATTAGAGTAGTACCAGCATGGGAAAAAAATTGAAGACTACCACTTCGAAACTAATTAATGCTAACACCAGAAAAAAAGTGGACAAAAGTGGCTCTACCTTCATTCCAGCGTTGCCTTGAAAAAGAATGAAAACCATACGAAACATTGGCAAATTAAAGAATTTAGCACTACGCTGTTTTCTGTATGATTCCACATCCCACAACCCAACATTGTTGAATACAACAGTCATAAATAAAAGATAGATGTACATTGTTAACACATTCAGGACAGTCGACATATTGCACTCTTTGTTCTTCAAGTGAGGTACTGAGAGCATGGTATCATGCTCATCTCTACCTCTATGCGGGACTGAGAACTCTCTTCAGTTTTAGATTCCAGTTCATAGAAGCAATGTGCTGTTTTAGTTATTATTTTGAGCATGAGTTAGAGTGAGCAGCAATAAGCTGCTTCTTTGAACTTAGTCTAAATGTGAAGAGACTAGAGCACAATATGCTCGTACCTGATTAGATAAGGCCTAAAGTATCCTATGGTTCACATCTGGTAGATCAAAGCTCAAAAAATCCTTTTTTTGGGGGGGGGGGTTGTGTTTTTCGTGAAAATACGTTTAAAAAAAACCAGTGCCTACGAGCCTTTTACATCCAAAAAAGACAATAAATTTTTTCCATTTTTTTCGTTTTTCATTAAAAATACATTAAAAAACGTGCCTACAAGCCTTTTACATCCAAAAAAGACAATAAAATTTTTTCCCATTTTTGGGGTTTTTTGTGCTTTTCTTGAAAAATATGTTTTAAAAAAAGTGCCTACAAGCCTTTTACAACCAAAATAGACAATATTTTTTTTTTTTGCGTTTTTCATGAAAAATATTTAAAAAAAAGAGCCTTTTACATCCAAAAAAAGTCCCACACATTAGGCAGCATACTTATAATCAACGACACATCCGAACAGCACTGTCTGATATTTTCTAATATTTTGGCTCTTTTGGATATTTTTTTTTATAATTAATTATTATTTGGAGATCGTGAGATGCAGTCTGGTGTGATGTAGGTTTTAGAAAAACTTTCTTTATCGTGCCAACATTTCAATCTTTATTGAGATCATCTTCTGAGCCTGGGATTTATAAACATTGTTTGAAATTTACATATACATGTAGGATGCGGAAAAAAATTTATGAATTTATGCAATGCTAGAAAATTTTAGATAAAAGAATTGAATTTATACAATGCTAGAAAATTTTAGATGAAAGAATTGAATTTATACAATGCTAGAAAATTTTAGATTAATAAAAGCATTGTATAAATTCATTTTTTTATCTAAAATTTTCTAGCATTGTATAAATTCATTTTTTTATATCTACAATTTTCTAGCATTGTATAAATTCATTTTTTTCCACATCCTCCATGTATTTGTAAATTTCAAACAATGTTTGTAAATCCCAGGCCCTGAAGATGATCTCAATAAAGATCGAAATGTTGGCACGATAAAGAAAATGTTTTTTCTACAACCTACGTCACACCAGACCACATCTCACGATCTTTGAATAATCATTGACTAACGGTCACTCAACACCACACACTTAATAATGAAATTAAATGTTCTTCTTCCCTGGCCCATTCCTCAGTGAAGTATCAAAAATGGAACACAATATGATGGACTAAAACAAAACCAATAACGTCCTTATTTCACACTTTGTTTGACATTACTGTATGAAATTTGGATGCTGTTGTAACACAATTAAACATTATAATTGTTTTATTTATTATCAAATATATTTTTATCTCTTTAATTTCAGATATTACATTTGATGAAATTGACAATACTGCAAAAGGCGCTGAACAGGCGATTCTTAATTTACTACCTCCTTGTAATAGAAATGCATCTAATTTGTGTGATGTGTATCCTGTTGAGAAATTGCTTTCCGCAGAAGAACAGGAAACTTTAAAATCGGCAGCACAACATTTGATGAACAATCCTCCTGCGGAATCTGATCAGATGTGGGTTTGTGTGTGAAATAATGTGCTATTTCTGAACATATAGGCTCTTAAATTAATTAAACAATTAATGTAGATGTGTTAATTGTATTGAGTTATTGTTGGTTTTTTTACTGACTTCATTCCTGAAAAAACCACCAATAATGAAACAAAATTTCACTATTTCATTCTGGTAATGGTTTATTATTTTTCAGAACTAACTACTTTTTATATTCTCAATATCAACTTCTTGGACCTAATCCTTCGATTTCAAGCCTTAACTTACTTGTTTATGGTAATGCGATTGTTAAATTCCTTAATATGTCTGCGGCTGAAGTGAAATTGAAGAATTGTGCAAATAAGATTTGCCCATTTTCAAATATTATAGCAAATAAAATTTTAAATGAATTCACTATTCAGTCTGAGCAGGGAAGGTAAATATTAAACTTTAATTTTTATATTTCTTGATTTAACATTTTAATTTTTTTTTACAGATCGAGGCCTTTGGAATTAAAAGATAAAGCTCTCAGCCATGTGTTAGTAATAATGCTCTTATTAAATAATTACACAGTCAAATTAGACTTGTTAACATCCTCTGTTAAAGGATTTGGAATCACCAAGCAAGTTACAAAATGAAATAGTACTTACTACTAATTTATCTTTTCTAATTTTGATTTTTTTTCAGACTTCAATGGTTTGTCAAGTTACTAGGTTTATCTTCATTGGGCGGGTCAAGCAAGCAATATGTATTAAAATTACCATTGCCACCATTGCCTGTTGTTAAGAAAGCACGAAAGATCAGTAAGAAATGATATTCGAAATATTTGTCATTATATAAAAAAATAAACATTTTATTTTAATTTGTGTGGTTTGCGTTTATTTATAATTAACATCAATGTTTATTTGGTATGAAATCATAAATAAATTGTACGAAGTCTTGTACAGTCATTCCACCCAATACGAATGCGCCGTACTGTTTTACTTTCTCCCTTGCCAATTCCTCGACGTTAGGTTTGATGGATTGTAATAATTCTGGAAGTGCGACGTTTATTAACTCGTTGAGTGTTTGGCTGACCATTTCATTTCCTCCAAGCATGTTGAAATTTATCTGGGAGAGGTAAAAAAGTTTGTTAAATTAATTTCCTAACTTGAAAATTCATTGTGAAATATTACTTTAATTGCCTGTTCTTCATAATCCAAAAGTAAATCTTTCACTTCTAATGTATTGTCGCTTAGTAATTCAAGACTTATATTTACTGCCAGTGTCAAATTTTTGACATCAACGCTTAAAAAATAAAATAAAAATACACCAAAGAATTAGTTTCTGCATTAAATATACTAAAACTTGTTTTTTAACGAGGATTCGCAACAACAGAGGTCATATCAACTCTGGGGGTGCTGGTGTTATAATAAAAATAAAATAAATTTGTAAGTATGTAGGGTTCAAATGCATAGCTGCTGGCTTCAAACCTTTACTTGACAGTGATGACCTCTGTGTCAACACTAAATTGATGTGGCCACCGACACCCACAAATATATTTATTATAAATGTTTTAAATAAAACATAAGGTCACATTTTTTACTATATTTAAGTTTCATTAATACTAATTTCATTACATAGCTTTTTTTTCAATTCAAATTTACCATTTTTAACTTCAAATAAACCTTTTTTGATTCCAAATTAACCCTTTTTAACTTAAAATTAGCATTTTTAATATAAAATTAACCTATTAACTTCAAATTAACCCTTTTTGATTTCTAATTAGCCTTTTCTTTAAATAATTAAAAACAAACTTTGGAGATGGTATGAGATATGTAAAGTAAAATTCCTGTATTTTTGCAAATTGTTTATACTTTTTAATTTTCATTTGGTATTTTAAGAGATAGATACTTTAAGATATTTTTAAAAATTCACAAATATAAAAAATTTTACTTTTCATGCTTATAACTCATACCATCTCGTAAGTTTTTTTATAAATTATTTAAAGAAAAGGCTAATTTGATATGAAAAAGAGTTAATTTGAAGTTTTAAAAAAATTTTAGAAAGTTCAGTTTGTAGTTAAACAGTTAATTTGAAATTAAAAAGAGTCAGTCTGATTGGAAAAAGCTATAACAATTATTATATTGTTAAAAGTATAATTATTATTAGTATATTGTTAACAAGTATAACAGTATTCTATACAGTGGAGTCCTGCTAGTACGAACTAATTGGGACTGAGCGCTGTTTGGCTTAGAAGAAATTCAGAACAACCGAAAAACTACAGTGATGCAGAAACAATCAGTAAAACAGGTTTGGTTTATTAAAAATGAAAATGGTTTATTAAAAATGAATGATATTCAGATGAGGTGATATGCACCATGTAGACGTTGAAAAATAAGCTGGAAGTTTTCTTGGACAAGGGTGAAAGCGTATGTACGTTTAGTCTGATCATTTTGACCTGTCAAGATGTGTTTCAACTTCTTGCCATCTCCAGTTTTTAACAATGAAGTTAAAACCCTCCATTGAAGATGGCAAGAAGCAGAAACATGTTTGACTAATAAAAGTGAAGATATTCAGATCAAAATTATCCAGACCCACCAAACTACAAGCTGTAGAGTTTGCAGTGTTCTAGGCCAAAATAATGCCATTATTACCATAAAAATTTAACTGGAAAATGGAAAAACTTGTACTTTGTGGACCAAAAGATTTCCGCATTGCTGATCAAAATGTGTTTGGATAAGGCAAAATTTCAGATTATCGGGACTCCACTGTATATGTCATATAAAGCTGCTTTATTGTTAAGGTCAAAATAAAATGCTTATTTAAAATTAAATTTTTATACACCACATTGCTTTTTTGTAATTTGTTTTAAAAAATGCAATAAAATCAATATTTTATAGGTTTTTTTCATTTTTTCATTAGAAGTGTATTATTACTACCTGAAGGGTCCATCTCCAGTCAGTTCGAAGTCCTCGCTTTTTGCTTTAATTGAGTAGAGCCCAGTTAAATTGAGTTCGGGGAAACGTATCTTAACTGCAAAATTTAAATTGTCCATGTCCGCATGCGTGAACAAAGTTTCAAAAGTGTTTAAATCTTTGACGGTTGCATTTTTTGTAGTTACATTGTAAAACCTGTCAAAAAAATTATCTGTTCATTTTTTTCTTCTTCTTCTTCTAAAAGTGAACTTACAGTACTTTTGTGTCGGAATTCATGTTGAGGTCTGGAATAGTTTCTACGTTATTAGCAAGTGATTTTACAAACTCTAACAACTTCTTAAGAGTGTCATCAGTGATGGTCTGATTGGAAGGAGGATCATCGGAAATAAGATTTGTGAGGACACCTAACAATGTAATGTTTTTTTCTTCATATTTTAATAATTAATATACATGTAGATAAACAACCAAAAATATTATATAGCAAAAACAGAATTAGAACAGATTTTAGTCATAGCCATCATAAATTACCTGCTTGAGCGACCCCAATTGAAATTAACAGAACAGCCAATGTATTCATGGTTGAATACCATTTGTAACTAATAAAAATTTTAGCTTTTCAATACCACAATTTGTTTGAATAAGTGATAAGATAAGATCATCAAATGCTTAACCGTCTCAGCATGTTGTTGAATTTACCAATATACGTATTAAAAAAACAATAGTGCTTTTTACAATGGCTAATAAAAAGTTTTTGTTACAATGTAAACAAATGGAAAAAATAAGCAAATATAGAGGAAACAGTCATTCTGTTGAGGGGCACTTCAAATTCTAATTTTCAAGAACATTGAAAACAATTATGTCATTTGAAAACGATCCTTTTGAATTATTTAATTTATTTGCAATATTAATTGAAACATGACTGACTTTTCACAGATTGATTGATAGATGCAAGAGGCTAAATGGATAGATAGACTTTCAATGACAATTACATTTTGTCCTCAGCCAAAAATTACACAAATAATTGAAATAATTTTAGGAGTCTTTACCAAGACTGGTTTCACAATATTTCTACCACTCTCAACACGACAGACAAGAATGACACATCTACACAGAAAACAAACACTTTGAGCCTTGAAGATGATCTCAATAAAGATCGAAACATTGGCACAATAAAGAAAATGTTTTTCTAAAACCTACATCACACCAGACCACATCTCATGATCTCTAAATAATCAATATTCCACCAAACACTCTTTAGAGTCAAAAAGTTGTTTCAGACAAAGTAATAATGAACTGATTCTATCATTTATTTATTTAATGCCTTTGCATAATTGCATAATTTAGCATTAATGAATAATGGTTAATTCATTATTCCTTTGACGAAATCCCTCAATCAAAGAAAAGAGGAAGAGGAGTAGCAATTTATAAAAAGTTGTTAACAAAAATTATTCCAGATGTCAACAATATTTTCACTTGAAATTGCTGCAGGTTCTGTTAAAAAATGAACAGATAAAATTTAATTGCTTGTGTTATAATACTACAGATATTACTATATAAAAACTTTAAAAAAATATTTTCAATAATTTTAAATTACTTAAATCTATACATGTGTATAAGGGCAGCTTAAATTGTATAGTCCAGATTAAGTGTTAACTTTTAACTTCCCTCAACTTAATTTGATTTGGCTTTACTTTAAGTGTGGAAGGGGCGAAGACTCTAAAGTCTTAATGGTTACGTGGCAAAAATCGTTTTCAGTTGGACAGTGCCAATGTGTTTCGCCGAACTTTGCACCTTTATTATCAAGCCAGATAATCTGAGATAAAAAAGGTATTTAAATATTTTTTTAAAAGATGGTTTGTTGGTAGGTAAGAAGGTTGGCTTCTTAAATTGTATTTTTTTAAAATATGCAGGATCGTATTAAATATGACGATAGGATAAAACATTACAAAAACCTAAAGAAGTTAAAAGTTATTTTTTTATAAACAATTGACAGTTGATATTAATTTTTATAATATAGCAAAAAAAAAATCACCTCACAAATGCTTCCATTTTGTTTAAATCACAAAAATGGTGATAATTTTCAAAGAACTGCACCAATAGACAGGAAATTTTGCTTAAGGAAACTGGGTTTAGTGTTCTATTTACTACACTTATGTCATAAAATTTGCCATCATAAATGAATTAGAACTGGAGACATAAAAATAAATGTTTGAGGATTTAGTGTTGATTTCATCTTTATTTTTGTTATACCTTGTTGACATTGTCGGAAAAAAATATATTCATCTTTCCAATGATTGTAATAATATTGATTGTAAGTAAAATCTAGAGGAATTATGAATTTTGAAGTGGATCACCTGATAACTGAGAGAAAAAAATACAGTGGCGGTTCATGCCCAGTATTATCTATTTTTTGTTTGGTATAAAAATTAGTATATTTTATTTAACAGTTTGTAGAGCCCTTACACCACATGTTGAAGTGCCAATTAAGAATGATAATAGAATCCCAAAAGAAAAAATTAAAGATCACCAGATCCCCCTTCTTTAGTGTCAGCAATACCCATGGCAGCTAGCTTACCATGGGGTGGAGGGATGGAATTCAGTTTGAAATGGTGCTTAAAACAAACCATATTTTCAGTCTGTTAATAATAAAATTTTAATAAAACAAGTTGCAAAAAATAGAAGTATAAATGCACTACACTATGAATAATTTTTCTACAGAAAATATTTTTTGTGCCTATTTTATTGGATGTAGTACTTTTGGATTTTGTAACTTTTTATGTATTTAATATCATTTATTGTATTTAATATCATTAATAATATTTAACTGCATTTTAATTTTTATCTTGAAATGCACACACAACAAAGACAGGAAAGCATATTTTTTAAAAATGACCATTTTTCTCGACTTTCTGTGAATTTTCTGTTCAGATATACTACAGTTGCAAGAACTTATTTTCTATATAAATTATATCTACGTAATAACTTTATATTATAAACTCTTTTAATAATAGTTTGTTGTTCTGTACATAGACGGATGGCATTATATCACTATTAGTAGATTATTATTAATAATTAAAAATTAAAGAAGAAATAAGAATTAACACTAAATTAAGAAAATAAAAAATAACAAGACAAAAATTATACAATACAAAATTATATCTATATGTGATATGATACAAAGAAATATATATTTTTAATGCACAAACTAATTACAATTAATTCACAAACTAATTAATAGAGTGTTAACACTTCATTAGTCTAGATATCCTGGAGTATTTAGTGGAATTGGAAGAATGAGACTTTTTAGAGAAAGTAAACTGTTGTCTGGTTTTATAAGAAGGTATGCAAAAGAGAGGAAAGGAGACCAGGACAGTCATAATGATTATGTATTAGTTAGTTAGAAGATAATAAGGAATATCACCAAATACTCCAGTCTTCCTGAACGAAATGAGATGCAATAAATGCAATTACTCGTCCTGTGCATGGATTCCAAATGACACACACGTATTCATGAATTGGTCCCACAAGGAAACTTTTATTTGTGTATTTAATGCAGAAAATATATTTAATTGTTTATGCTATTTATTTTTAAGAATGATATCAATAATTTGACTCGCATGTCAATTCTTGTATATACTGTCATAAAACATTAGAAGTGAAAGATATAATGGTAGATTACAATGGAACGAACAATTGATGTAGTCTTTTATACTGAATTTTCAGTAAATTAATTTCAATTTTTTTTTTGTCTTTCCCAGATAAACCGAGCTTAATAAATGCCTCACATTGAGAATTATTACAAATTCTCACAATACTAGGTTGTGATGTTAGGATAAATTATTTGAATCATTATCATTCAAAATATATTTATTGTATGTTTAATTATAATCACAAAGAATATCAATAAATGTTTAATAATACATTATATTAATGAATAAACTTAGACCAAACGTCAATATCTGTTTTAGGTGCGTCAAATCACCAAACAGTTTATCAATGAGACAGGCTAAGAAGAGAAAAATAATAATCTTTCCCCACGTGGTTACTACTTTGTTATCAACCATCCATTGTTTTGGTCTTTCTGAATGATGGTACCATTTGGTTTAGAACCAATTTTGCATTAAATTGGTTCAACAGAGAATCTTGTCATCTTACTAATCTAAAGTAACAACGTAAATCAATCAAAATGGTTAAAGAACTGTACAGGGAAACGGCCGTCGCCAGGAAAATGTATGTAAACACTTGCTACGCTGTACCTTGCCTATTTGAATTACACATATAACAAATATATAAAGTAAGAAATACAAAATATCGTTTTGTTTCAGATCCCACGTTAGCTTTGGTCTGGACGGTCCTCATGAAATGCAAAAACAAGCTCATATGCATGTTGTCGCTAAAAATTTGTATTCGCAAGACAGCAATAGAACTCCAGTACCACATGGAGTCCTGGATAGAAGAATGGTAAAGTTTGTTTTGAGCCAAAAGAATCCTTAAATATTGCCAATTTAAGTAATATCCTGTATAAGAGGGCACTCTCAACACGACACACAAGAATGGCACAATTACACGAAAACAAACACTTTGAGCCCTGAAGATGATCTCAAATAAAGATAGAAACGCTGGCACGATCAAGAAAATGTTTCTCTAAAACCTACGTCACACCAGACCGCATCTCCCGATCTCGGAATAATCTTTGACTAACGGTCACTAAACACCACACATCCAGTATATGTTTGTTTGCATGTTAATGACTATATTTAATTTCATAGACAAATTTAATTTAACTTTGACAACAAAATTAACAAAGTATTGTTCAAGTTCTATTTATCTCCCAAACTTAGGCAGATTTGTTGATTCTTTGTTTAAAAAATTTCAAGAAATGTTCTATAATTGAACTCTTACCTTGTTGTATTGTTTATCTTGGTTCAGCAGCTTATTAAACCATGAACCTGTAACAATATAAACAAATTTAGACAAAACTCCATAACGTCTATAAATAAATAAAGTTAGAAATAGTCTAAAATTTTAAAATAGGCTAATTTTTATATATNGGGATGGAGAGGGTCAATTGAGAAAGTTTTAAGAAAGACTGGACCAGCAATGGAGTTCGTTTGTTTTGCCAGTATCGATTTGTGCTAGCAAGCATAGCTAAGTGTCTGATACGAGCAATAACAGGGTGATTTTCAATAACCATGCGGGAGGATAAAAATCTGCCAGCCACCAAAGATCGCCGCATGTTCATAGGCATAATTTTGGCCTCCACCTGGAGAGCATTTATTGGTGAGAATGCATGGCTCCTAGACAAATCCTGAGACATTTATTTTGAATTTTGTCCAATTTCGACAGATAGACTAATTTAAAGTACAGCAATAATAATTGTAGGCTTAACCACTGCGATACAGCCCTCTGACACTAAAAATTCAATGAAAAACATGTTTAAAAGAAAGTGGCCATGTCAGTGAGCCAGATCGGCAGAAAAGACTCGTAGAAGAGGGATCAACCTCCGATTGAAAATAGCTCTCTGAGGTTGACACAAGGACGTTAACTTTTGGGCCCGTGTATGTGCCCAGCTTGTAGAGAAAGGTTGCTTGGTGCATCATTCCTTGGCTACATATAGAGAGCGTGTAGGAATGCCATTCAATATGAGAAGTGTGTTTGCGTACGGAAACGAGTATCTGGGTCGCATGTTTCAATTTTTAGAGGTTTTGCGTATATGAGCATGAATGTATGTATTAGTGTGAATGTGCAGTGTGATAAGGCCGATGGCGAAATATTGAGACCCCATTTACCCTCAGTTAGATTATTTATATATATGTATTGAGGGTGATGGAGGAATATCAAGTATTAAGTAGTATGTAAATAAGAAAGATTTTTTTCTTAAAATCCATGGTTTGTAGCATTTCTTATCCAAAGGTTGAAAAATCCCAAGTTCTCCGTGGTTGAAATATTTTATTTAATTTTATCTATTACATCAACGTTTCAGGCCTACGGCCCATCATCAACACCTAAACATGGTAAACCCTCATGGCACAATTACCATCCAAAGATACACGCATAAGTAATTTAATTTTTTTTTTTTTTTAATAAATATACCTAACCATCCCTAAAAGTAAATATACCTGGACTATGCCATAGATACATATAAATTTCCACCCATTTTGAGGGGGATTTCGTCAAAATGTTTAAAACTGTTTTGAAGACATCCTCCTCAAAATGGGTGGAAATATATATGTATCTATGGCATAGTCCAGGTATATTTTATTTTTTAAAAAAATTGTAAATTACTTATGTGTGTATCTTCGGATGGTAATTGTGCCATGAGGTTTTCCATTTTAGCACCTAAGCCGTAGGCCCGAAATGTTCATGTAATAGACAAAATTGAATAAAATATTTCAATCACGGAAAACTTGGGATTTTTCAACCTTTGGATTAAGAAAGAATGTATTTAAGAGATTTGCGTTATGGGCTGAAATGATCTAGCTGTTGACAGCTCCTAGAGCCTAATTGCAGATAAGACAGAGGAGTCTAGAATACCCTAAACCAAAGTGGGTGTCATAAGCAAACTTCTGTACATGTTTGTATGTACATAGACTTATGCGCGGAGTTAAGCTTACATAAATCAAACAATTAAACAGTAATTTCAGTTACTTGATTAGACAATTTGCAGGAAAATGTTTTAAATATTTTGTATGTGGTATTTAGTGACCGTTAGCCAATGATTATTTGGAGATCGTGAGGTGCGGTCTGGTGTGGCGTAGGTTTTAGAAAAACATTTTCTTTATCATACCAACGTTTCGATCTTTATTGAGATCATCTTCAGGGCACAAAGTGTTTGTTTTCCATGTAAATGTGTTATTCTTGTCTGGTGTGAGGGCACTCTCAACACGACAGACAAGAACGACACATCTACACGGAAAACAAACACTTTGAGCCCTGACGATGATCTCAATAAAGATTGAAACATTAGCACAATAAAGAAAATGTTTTTCTAAAACCTATGTTACACCAGACCACTTCTCACGATCTCCAAATAATCAATTATTGATATGATTTTTTTAAATTGTTAATACAATTTTATATTTAATTTAGGGAACAAATCAGAAAGATGCAAATTGTTCTACTTGTGGAAAAGGACTTAGTGACTGCATTGGTCATTATGGATTTATCGATCTCCAGTTACCAGTGTTCCATATTGGCTATTTCCGATGTGTTATTAACATTTTACAGACAATATGCAAGGTATATAATATCTAATTAATAAGCCTCATTTTAATTTTGAAAAACTTATTTTCTTGTTTACAGAACCCATTGTGCGCTAGAGTTCTTTTGCCCGATAAAGAACGCCAAGCATATTATTCCAGGATAAGGAACCCAAATCTGTCATATTTGGTCAGGAAATCTCTCAGGAAGCAGATTCAGGCTCGGTGTAAAAAGTTCAGTGTCTGCCCTCATTGTAGCAACATCAACGGCGTCGTGAAAAAATCCGGCCTGTTGAAAATCACTCATGAAAAATACCGAAACAAAAAACCAAATGAAATGATGCTGTTAGAGCTAGCCGAAATTGCTAAAGACACAGAATATAGCAAAGAACTAACAAACATTTATCAAAGTGGTTATACATTGAATCCTCAAGAAGTCCTTCAGCTTCTTGAAGCAATCCCTACACAGGATATTCCACTACTTCTCATGAACCAAAATTTATCTAAACCAGCTGATCTCATCTTAACTAGAATACCTGTTCCTCCTCTTTGCATTCGCCCTTCTGTCATTTCTGATATCAAATCAGGAACAAATGAGGATGACTTGACGATGAAATTATCAGAAATAGTATTCATTAACGATGTGATTATGAAACACAAATTATCAGGTGCGAAGGCGCAAATGATAGCGGAAGATTGGGAGTTTTTGCAGTTGCATTGTGCATTGTACATAAACAGTGAAACCTCCGGGATTCCAATAAATATGCAACCTAAAAAAGCAACTAGAGGTATAGTGCAAAGGTTGAAAGGAAAACAAGGAAGATTCAGAGGCAATCTGTCTGGAAAGAGAGTAGATTTTTCAGCTCGTACTGTAATTTCTCCAGACCCGAATCTTCGGATTGAAGAGGTTGGCGTTCCTGTTCATGTTGCGAAAATTCTTACTTTCCCGGAAAGAGTTCAGCCTGCTAACAAGGCCCTTCTCCGTAAACTCGTTTGTAATGGTCCTGATGTTCATCCTGGTGCTAATTTTGTCCAGCAGCAAGGGCAGACTTTCAAAAAGTTCCTTAAATACGGCAATAGGGGGAAAATTGCACAGGAACTGAAAGAAGGTGATATCGTCGAGAGGCATTTAAAAGACGGAGATATCGTATTATTCAACAGGCAGCCAAGTTTGCACAAACTGAGTATCATGTCCCACCGAGTCAAGGTGTTGGAACATCGCACATTCAGGTTTAATGAATGCGCATGTACGCCGTACAATGCTGATTTTGATGGGGACGAAATGAATCTCCATTTACCTCAGACTGAAGAAGCTCGAGCCGAAGCTTTAATTTTAATGGGAAACAAATCGAATTTAGTCACTCCTCGAAATGGTGAATTGCTTATTGCTGCCACACAAGATTTTATAACTGGAGCATATTTGCTAACCAAAAAAAGTGTGTTTTTCACTCACAGAGAAGCTTGCCAAATAGCATCTACTTTAATCGCCGGTGATGACATTGACATGCAAATTGACCTCCCACCTCCTGCTATTATAAAACCTGCAAAATTATGGACAGGGAAACAAATATTTAGTCTTTTAATTAAACCAAATAAAAAATGTAAAATTCTTGCAAATTTAAGAACTAAAGGGAGAGCGTACACCTCAGGGGAAGAAATGTGCATAAATGACTCTTTTGTTAACATAAGAAACTCTCAGTTACTGGCAGGGATGATGGACAAGTCAACGCTTGGCTCTGGAGGCAAAGCGAATATTTTCTACGTCCTTCTAAGAGATTGGGGTGAAGATGCTGCTACAACTGCGATGTGGAGGTTAAGCAGGATGGCATCTTACTTTCTCATGAATAGGGGATTTTCTATTGGGATCGGTGATGTCACACCAAGCCACGGGCTGCTTAAATTGAAACAAGAGCTTTTACACGCCGGATATACAAAGTGTAACGAGTACATCGAGAGACAAGCTGCTGGGAAGCTACAGTCTCAACCTGGATGTTCAGGCGATGAAACTTTAGAAGCTGTAATACTTAAAGAACTGTCAGTTATTCGAGATCGAGCAGGAAAAGCATGCCTGAAAGAACTCGATCCTTCAAACAGTCCATTAACAATGGCATTAAGTGGTTCTAAAGGTAATTTAGGGAAAAAAATTGTTTTAAAATTTTAAATATGTAAATGGCTCTTTTTTTATAGGTTCTTTTATTAATATATCTCAGATGATTGCCTGTGTAGGACAACAGGCTATAAGTGGAAAAAGAGTGCCTAACGGTTTTGAAGATAGAGCTTTACCTCATTTTGAACGCCACTGTAAGAAATAAATTATAAATATTATAAAAAGATTTTTTTTTTTTTAACTATTATTATTTATTTTTGTAGCAAAAATTCCAGCTGCCAAAGGTTTTGTTGAAAACAGTTTTTATTCTGGGCTTACTCCAACCGAATTCTTTTTCCACACTATGGGTGGCCGAGAAGGTTTAGTTGATACTGCTGTAAAAACAGCCGAAACTGGATACATGCAGAGAAGATTGGTTAAGGTAAAATTAGAACTGTAAAAATGTTGAATGTTTATTAACTATTTCTTTTTATGTAAAATAGTCATTAGAGGACTTGTGCCTTCATTATGACATGACTGTCAGAAATTCAAACGGAGATATTATTCAGTTTTTGTACGGAGGCGATGGATTGGACCCGACTTATATGGAAGGTAAGTTTAAAAAAAAAAAATTAGCAATAAGTTTATGTTACAATGTTTTCTTTCCACAGGTAACGGGCAACCGGTGGAACTTCAGAGAGTGTGGGATAACATCAAAGCTAATTTTCCGTTTAGAAATGAACCCCCTTTAAGTGCGACTGATATTATTGAAGGGTCAAATGTTTTGCTTTCCTCATCTGAGTTTGACTGTTGTAGCGAAGAATTTAAAACTCAACTAAGGTTAATTTTAGAAACTGGAATTTGTAAAATCAATTAATTAAATATATTTTTAACTTTCAGGGATTTTGTCAATAAACAAGCCAAACGGAGGGAAGGCGTCAAAGACGAGTGGCACCAAACATGTCCAATTTTGTTCCAATTGGAACGTATTACATTATCTCAGTTGGTACGTTTTTTCCAAGCTTGTAGAGACAAATATCTCTCATCAAAAATTGAACCAGGTTTGTTCTTGTTTACTTTCATTTATTTACTATAATATTTTATTCTGTCATTATTTATTTATTTTTTAAATTTCAGGTACGGCTGTTGGAGCTTTAGCAGCTCAAAGTATTGGTGAGCCGGGAACTCAAATGACCCTAAAGACTTTTCATTTTGCCGGGGTCGCCTCAATGAACATCACACAAGGAGTTCCTAGGTAAATAATATTATTGCTATAGGTAAAATTGTAACTTCAATACATTATAATCTCTATTTGTAGGATAAAAGAGATAATAAATGCCAGTAAGGCGATCAGTACGCCGATAATAACAGCGCATTTAGAAAATGATACCGACCCTGAATTTGCCAGGGTTGTTAAAGGGAGAATTGAAAAAACAGTATTAGGGGAAGTGAGTATTAAATTAAAATTTTATATTTTATGAACGTTATTTGATCGTACATGATTGTTCTAAATTACTTATTTATCAGCCTTATAGGATCTGTTTACTTTTTGCCTAATATAACCTATTAGTGTGCAAATTCTTACTAACATTACTATGAATGTGGGATCATTGATTGTAATGAAACAAAAATTTCATAACACTAGGTTGAAAAATATTTGACGTGTGTCGAGCGCTCTTGCTAATAGGTCCGAGGAGCCAAGAATTTTTTTTTTAGCAAGAAACAAAGTTGATATTATATTTTTGTAAATATAAAAAAATACTTTTTGGTTCAAAAACAAGAAACTCAAGACTGATAAAAGGAGGTGGATGCTCCCAAAAATGATCATTTCAATAAAACAAAACCATATGGATCTGATTAATTCCAACATATCCCAAATATTTAAGAAAATAAAAAATGTTTTGCACTTAAAATTTTCAACTTCAATTTTTATTTAAAAAAATAAATAAATAAATAAAAATTGTGATAACTTTGAAACGACTCTGCCGATCCACTGGAAACTTTACTTGGGTTTAGAAACTAATAACCTATGCATAATAGCACAAACTAGCCTCCGTAAATAAATCAGGACCTGAGATACAATTTTGGGGAATTTTTGTTGATTTCATCCTTATTTTTCCCACTTATAATGACATAAAATCTAATGTTGTTGACATAGGCTCCAAATAAAAAGATTCTGTTTTATAATAATGTGGATAATGGATAAAATCCAGATGAGTTAAAAATTTTCTAAGTGGAACACGTACTGGAAAAATAAAAATTACTTCCAGCTAATCCAGCCCAAAAATACATATTTTTTGTGTGCTCTAAAAATTTATATTTAAGGGTTTTAAAGAATCTTAAAACAAATATAAATTTTTGGGTTTACTAAAATATTTTTTTGACCAACTTTACTGGAAGCATCTGTTCGTTGTTATAACATTTTATATATCTGGTCTCGTTTAATATGAATTTAATTTTATTTTACCATTCTAGTCTTTTAAAAAATGGCTGGTATAATATAACTTTGAAATTCATACACAACAAATGTAGAAAACCGTATGAACAAAAAAGTGATTTTTTTCTCGACTCTTAAGGCCCATTGGCAAGAACATTGGGGCATATGTTTAATATTTTTCAATTTAGTATAACTAAAAAAAAGTTTTGTTGAAATAAATGATGCCACGTCAGCTTTCCCTGTAAGTTCATTGTAGATATACGAACACAAAATACTAAATTTAACGAAGTTCAGAAAATTAAAACGTTTCATTATTATACAAACAAGAAAAATTCCAAAATGTCATTTTTTGTATTGATATGAACTTCCATGGATCAGAAATATCCAAAATCCAGAGCTCAGAAGCTGAAATGTTTTTATTGAGAGCACCTATCGAACAAACATTTTGACACATTTAAACAAAATTGGAAATTTATAGCATTTTAGAAATTGTTTAAAAAAACCATTGCTTTTTGCTGATCCAACTGTTCTTACTGGACTATGATTATTTTGTAACAAACTAGAAGAAGTAAGGAATGAAATGGTTGATAGAATTTGGAAATATCTAGTAACATATTGTGAAGTTTTGAATTTTTCAATATTAGGAATAAAAGCAGGCCAGGATGGTCATGTACGATCATATCACACTTAGGGATAGAAAATTTATTTTGACCATTTAAAGGTGACTGAATACATTGAAGAAGTTTATGTGCCACATGACTGTTTCATTTTAATAAAAATCGACATAGAAAGGATCAGACTGTTGAAGTTGGAAGTGGATGCTGAAACAATAAGATTTAGGTTTGTACCTATTTCTTGTTGTTAATACCCAATTTAATTTTATGTTTTTCTTCCTAGCATTTGTTCGTCTAAGCTTAAGTTGAAACCGAATCAAGTAATCGTCCAAACACCTGCAGTCATCACAGTAAACCCTTCAGTCGGAAAAGAAAGCTTAGACCATACTCTTAGAGCTTTGAAACATAGCCTTTTGGATGTTGTGATCAAGGTAAATTCATTCAAATTCAAAAATCATTTAAACAAATAAAAAAATAAATAAAAATATTATATGGAAAAATTACAGGGTGTTCCATTGGTGAATCGAGCTGTGATTCATGAAGAAAATATAAACGGAGTGACTACATATAAACTGCTCGTTGAAGGTGACAATCTGCGAGATGTTATGGGCACAAGAGGAGTTAAAGGGACACATTGTAAATCCAACAATACATATCAAGTGTTTGCCACTCTTGGAATTGAAGCTGCCAGGTAAAATATTTACAAAAAGTAAATGTATAACATTTTCTAACTTTGAATTTTTAGATCTACAATAATGTCAGAGATTAAACTCGTTATGGAAAACCATGGTATGTCAATTGACCATAGGCATCCGATGTTGGTTGCCGATTTAATGACAAGTAGAGGCGAGGTACTCGGAATAACAAGGCATGGCTTGGCTAAAATGAAAGAATCTGTTTTAAATCTTGCCTCTGTAAGTAAAATCTATAAATTTTGGTCTTGATATAGTAAGACAATTTTTTATGTGTATATACATTTTTTTTTTAGTTTGAAAAAACTGCCGATCATTTGTTTGATGCAGCGTATTACGGGCAGACTGATGCAATTACTGGAGTTTCAGAGTCTATTATAATGGGAATTCCAATGAACATTGGCACTGGCCTGTTCAAACTTCTTCACAAATATCCTTTTTTTTACAATACAATTATTATTTTAATATTTTTGAACTTCCCTTGAACAGACACCGCTCAGGAATGAGATTTTATCCCCTTATTAAAAACATTTACATATGAGAGTAAAAAAATGAATTAAATTCGAACGAATTTTGTATTTACATATAAATTCATTTTCTCTTTCCTATGAACTTTTTTATTTTCTCTGACAGAAGGAATCTTTTTCAAGCCTTATATCTGAATTGGTTTGTTGCAATCACAACCTCAGAACTGAGAACTGAACAGGATGTCAGAAAACACCAAGACATTGATCAAAATTGATTTACAATAAAAGGAATAAATACAAATAAGGCTGATCACTTCAAATAAAACCACAAATTTCATACACACATCACAAATCATTTGCGATACCCCAGAGTAATCAATATTCCTTGGAGGATAAGCCCTCCATTCATGCAAATAAATACATTTATTCCAATATATAACACACACGAAGACCAAAGATCCTACATACAATTAAAACTATTTATGACCCTGAGATATTAGAATAATTGTTTCGTCAATCAAAGTTACTATAAAATGTCTTAATATTTGTTTGTTAATTGTTTGATTAATATTATCCTTAACAGAAGTAATACGACTGAAGGTGAAAAAACTTTTGAAAAGAGGCCGTTGCTGTTTGAAGATCCTGAATTGCATATCAACACGCTGAAGGATGTTTTATAAAAATATTTTAATTGTAAATACAATAATTTATTACTGCATATATTATTATTATAGATATATTATTTTTTAAAAGGTGTTTTATTTTAAATGTATATATAAACCTAAATCCCTTTAGAAAGTTTAATTTTTGGTAGGCTCGACATCCCTATTGTTGAAGATCCCAGATATGGAACAAGCTGTTTTGGCATTTCAACAGTGCCGTTTTTATTCTGGTGGGTTTCCATCAGTGCTATAATCATCCTAGGAACAGCACATGCCGTTCCATTAATCGTGTGGGCAAATTGGCCATCATACTTGATATTTAAACGCCTGGCTTGATAATCGGTGCAGTTGCTTGTGCTGGATATTTCCCCCCATTTTTTCTTCCCAGGCATAAAAGCTTCGACGTCGTATTTCCTGTAAGCCTGAGCACCGAGTTCACATTCTGGCATGTCGAGCACTCTTAAAACGAGCCCCAATTCGGCAAAAGTCTCCTCTTCATATTCCCTGAACTCTTCGAGGAGTTGAGCCGAGCCTTCACAAGTCGCCACACCAAACATTTCCACTTTGGTGAATTGATGGACTCTGGAAATAATAATTTTACAGGGTATGTTCGGTTTAATTCTACTTCTAAGGTCAATTCTGACCTGTATAAGCCTTTTTCTTCAGATATTCTAGATGTCTCGGCTCTAAAGCATCTACTGACCGCGGCAAGTTTTATTGGCAGTTCATCACTACTAAACTCCTTATTTTGAAGATATGCTGCAATGCCCATTTCAGCGGTGCCAGACAGGCAGAGATCATCGCCAAGGTTTTCCAATTTATACACCTGAAAGGCCAAGCATTGAAATACTGAAGAAATTTCTTATTATGAATTCATTACTTGTGTCCTCTCTCCTTCAGTGTTAAATCCGCAGTATTCAATGATATGCTTTGGAAGTATGTCAGGTACAGATATAAACTCAAAACCTAAACGTTTTAATTTTGAGACTGAGTAATTCACCAAAGCGAGTTCAAGCTGGGCCAATTGGTCAATGAGGTAATAACTCCTAGAGCCTGTAAAGCAAGACGTATCTGTCCTTATCAGTTTCAGTTTTCTTGCAAGTTCTTCAAAGGTCTTAGGCTTGAAATTGGTCTGTTTGATATCACCGATGGTTTTGATCACTTCAGGCTCATCTTTTAAGCCGAGCAGTCTCGGATGAGATTTGTTCGGTATCTTCAGAGCCTCTTTGATGAGCCTTTGCCGAATGCTGGGATCCCCAGTTGAAGAAAGGTCGCTGTAAAGTTTCCTCACCAGGTCAACATCTCCTTCCCCCTTTCTTCTTTTTATCCTGGATTTTATTTCTTCGCTGTTTACAGGGTCGCATATATACTCGAAATCCAATTGAGGAGATAACGATTTCATTGTGGATATGCAACGTTTTAAAATTTTCACCTCTCTCAAAAGGAACGGATTCATTGAAAACATTTTTACTGAGGTCAAACAAATATTTCTGTCAACAGATCAACTCACGAGGTCAATTGAATTATTGAAGGTTTCCTTAAGACCTGAACTGATAAGCACTAAGCATTGGTCATAGGGGGTCCCATGGCTTAGTGTTATCTCACTACTAACTTTTGTTTTTCACATATTTTACCCAATTATGCTTTAAAAAATTTTTATTACCGTTATTAGGTTTTAATAAATTTAATAAAATTTTCAATAACAATAATTAATATACAAATACGATTATTTTGGAAGTTGGTGCATAATTAATTTTGTTATCGAATGCACCACATTCAATTCAAGAATTAAAAATTTATTTGCTACCCCAATGGCTAATGTTAATTACATAAAATTACAACCATTAAATTGACTGATGCATGAGAAAAATAATAACCTACAAATTGATTAGTAAAACCAAATTAATAAAAAAATTGAACTGAATGAATTAATGAATAAAAAAAGCACTTTATTTACAAAAATAAAATCTTTAAAAAGATATTTATATACTTAAGGAAGAATAACCGAAATTAAAATAAAAAAGTTCCTATACACCATTGATTATTAAAACTGCTGAAGGTGGTGGTAGGCTGACAATCAATTGAGTAGAAGATAATACGCACATACAAAGATAAAGATAAAAATAAAGTAAACAAAATTAAATTAGATTAAAATTGTTAATGCTTCTCAAAAAATTAAAAATTAAACTGCTCCATGAGCTCTCTGCGATACTCCAGTGCACTCTTTGCAAAACCCAACCAGGTCTAAGCAATCTTGGGAATTAAGTTTTGTGATCAAACATGGTCTCAAAAACTCAAGTAGTTCTCAAAAAGAGTACTCAAAACTCCGAGAGAATGGGACACTCAGCCAAAAAATGAAAGAGGTCTTCCCTCACACAGGAGTTACACAGTGAGCAGTGCCCAACAGAACCATCTCTCAGAGAGGAGTAATTAAGGTAGAAAAGTTGCACCTGAGTTTGAAGATCCAGCTTAAATTGATAGAGGAAAAGTTTAGATTATTTGTGTGGTGATTAGTGACCATTAATCGATAATTATTCAGAAATCGTGAGATGCGGTCTGGTGTGATGTAGGTTTCAGAAAAACATTTTCTTTATTGTGGCACTCTCAACACGACACACAAGAATGGCACAATTACACAGAAGACAAACACTTTGAGCCCTGAAGATGATCTCAATAAAGATCAAAACATTGGCACGATAAAGAAAATGTTTTTCTGAAACCTACATCACACCAGACCGCATCTCACGATTTCTGAATAATTAAATTTATATTATTATTGGACAAGTTGAAAAATGCCTTTGAATGATCGAGTGCTTTGTAGAGCAGAAGTCTATTGGATCTAACAGCCAGTTTGGCACAACGTTCAAAATGCCTAGAATGGATGGATGATTCAAAAGCTGAAAATTTAGAGAACCAGTCTTCATGACTGTTAAAGCAAAACAAATAGTTAATATTAAGCTCTTGGGCTAGAGAATTGAGTGCCTCAAAACACAATAGACTAGCATTAATTATTTCAATTGCCTCTATAGACAGGCAGTCAGAGTGTCCTGCTTAGATATGAAAGGTGGAGTTTGAACGTATAAACAAACAAAAACACTGAAAAGATTCAACTAGTTCGAACTGCTCAAACCTATGTGGAATAGAAGGGTTTAAGAGATGGTTGGACTTATACTCTCTCACAATGTCAATTCGTCTGTGACCAAAGGACGGGTGCTCCCTATTTGCCATCTTGCCCCCTTTACAAAAACTAGGATTTTCGATTTATTTAAATTTAATGTCAGATTCTATTGAGAGCAATAATTTTCTAAAAGTCAATGTTTCTCTGCAAGGCAGGTGGAGAGGTGGCCAGAGTGATTACATCATTAGCATAGAGAAGGCTCTTAATTATTATACTAGAACAGCGAAGTTCAAATTCTAAAGCATTAAGAATATCAAAAAATTGTATTGTAAATTCAAATGTTTTTTTTTTAAATTATTTTTTATATATTGTATATAATTTGTTATTACTTTGAGATATATTTCATCAAATTACTTTATTTTGATTGTGTATTTTATACGTATTATACATATACTTTTTTGTTTGGGGATATCATCGTAATGGTATATCACTTGTTATACTCTTATTTAAAAGTCAATTCATAAAATTTAATGCTCTTTTCAATGTTTTTTTATTATATATTATTATTAACCCAAAAATGAATAGTTTATATCACCAAGCTACTAGTTGATTTATTTAATTTTTGACAAAAATATTTTCTTATAGAAATCTTTTACATATTTTTATGGAACATACATCATTAAAAAGTTAAGTTTCTCTTATTTCACATAGACATTAAAATCCTTTTAACCCTTTTTTTTAATTATAACCATTTCAATCAAACATTCCGAGAATGACTTTTTAAAAGTCAAAACAATTTTATGGGTAAAAAAATTGATAAATTTAAAATCAAAGAAAAAATTATATTTAGGTGACTAAAGAATTGCTAAAACGAAATTTCGTGTTAGTTTCACGAAAAAAATTATGTCTTAATTTACCTGAAAAATATTTGGATTTAAAAATTTTTTGATTATTGATAAACTTTGATAGCTTTTACTATACTTTTATTGCAATCTATATAATAAATGGTGTAAAATGATATGTTTTATATTTGATTTGAGCAAGTAGGACGGCGAAATAAAAACATTAAAAAACGTAAAATTTCAACTTTCAAACTTTTTTTTTTTGAGAACTCAGGGCCTATTCACAAGAAGTGTCATATATGTGTCCAATATTTTGGAATATAGAATCAGCAAAAAAGTTTGGTCCAAATCCATGACACTAACCTGGTTGTCCCCTTGTGGATAATGCTGGTTTATGGAAGTAAAAAACAAAAAAAGGGTATTAAAGTTTCGCCATGTACTGACCATACAGACTAGAAATGGAGAGAGCAAAGAGCACAGGGCTAAAGTACCAAGTGCAACTCGTTTTTCAACGTCACATAGAAATCAATGAGGTCCCCAGGTTCGGAACCGATTTGAAAATCTATGCTTTTTATGCTTGAGATTACGTCATATCTGATGTAAAATTAAAGAAAAAGCGAAATCGAGCGCGAACCGACGAGGACCGGAGGTTTCATTATCTGTCTTTATTTTATGTTTTCGGTTTGTTTTTTCTTTTCGTCTTATCCGAGTTTGTCGGCGCGTTGATCCCTTTTTCCACTCGGATGTGCGATGTCGGAGGAAAGCCAGACGGACGTCGGAAAGAAATTGTTTTCCAAAGTTAAGTACAAAGTGTCGGGAAATGTACCGGACGAGGTACTCGAGATCCTCAGGGAAGGAGGTGCCGAGGGTTCTAATTACTTTTCCGATTATTTGACCCACTGCATAGTTGGCGATGATCCGACAGACACGGACATCACAGACGCAAAGGATTTGTATGAAATCCCTGCTGTCAATTATGAATGGGTGACGCTGTCCAAGGAGTGCAACAAGCTCCTCCCTGTAAAGACTTTCATATTCGGCGATGAGCTGTTGTTCACAGGTGTGAACGCATGTCTGTCTCAGATAAGCTCGGAAGACTGCACGGTTTTATGGGCGATGATAAGGTTTTACGGTGGTATCTGCACCCTCAGCCTTACCAAAAGGACGACCCATTTAATAGTGGGTAAAGCCGATGGTGTCAAGTATAACTTTCTTATGGGTAGGGAGTCGTGTTCTCAGTTCATAGTGACGCCGGATTGGGTTTTAGACTCCATTTCCTTAAAAAACAGAGCCCAGGAATCTTTGTACCACCCTAGACTGCTTGTGACTGCGCAGCACGATCGTAGGATCTCCGAGCTTTCTGGAACGTTTTCGACCGCTCACATCACCGGGTTTGCAGATGAAGAGATTACGCCAAAGGAAGAGTCGTCAGCCCCAAGATTTAGCAATGAGCTTTTGGAACAGCTTAAACAGCGAATGCCTTGGAACCAGCAGTCCACAGCTTCGACAACGACATCATCAGGCAGTGTCAACTTTACAAGCTCGACGATTGGGCTTGAAGTTAAAGAAGAGCCGAAACCTCCATTGATTCAAACTTCCCAGCATATCACTCTTCAACAGAATCTAAATCAAAACATCCAGTTGCAAAACAAGCAACAAATTATTCAAGTAATGCAACCTACACAACAGCAAAAAACACAAATTTTATTGCAGCAGCAGCAGCAGCAGCAGCAGCAGCAACAACAACAACAACAGCAGCAGCAGCAACAACAACAACAAAGGTTACAGCAGCCTTTACAAACAGGTCCCCAATGGAGGACACAGACAACATTACAACAGTCTCAAATGATACATCAACAACTTCAAGGCCATCAACAACAACAGCAACAGACCTTAGTTCAACAACACTCAGGTATTGGACAACAGTCTGTTCTAGTACAGCAGCAATCAATTTCACAGCCGACGATTGTTCAGCAACAGACTGTTTTAAGCCAGCAACAAGTTTTGACACAACAGACACTTGGGCAAGGACAGCCTGTTTTGACTCAGCAGACGACAATGCTGTTGTCACCACAAAATCAACATGAAACACAGCAGTTTATAACAAACCAAGGACAGTTGATCCAAGGTCGTCCTCAACAGATAGTACACCAACAGGCCAAGCCTGTAATTCAGCAACAGTTTATAGTTAGAGAGGGACCCCCGCCACAACTGGGTCAACAGCAATATACAGAAAATAAGCCTACCACACAATTTACCTGGCCACAACAGTACAGCCAAAACAGGCAAATCATTACCGGCCCTCAGGTTCAGCAAAGGATCACTTGGACCCAACAGCCTCAGGGCCAAGCTGGGGTGCGTCAATTCATTCACATGGATGCTCAAACTCATGCGCAACTTCAGCAAATGGAACCTCAACAAAGAGGCTTGTTTTTGCAAAGATTGCAGAAACACCGTCAATTGACACTACAAAGGCAAATGCAAGCGCAACAGCAGCAGCAACAACAACAGCGAGGTATTTTAGAGCAGGGGCAGGTTCAATTTGGAGTTGTTAGAACAAATGCACCACAACCTCAGCAGACTACTGTAATCAGGGGTCAGCTCCCACCAGGTATCAATCCGCAGCACCAGTTACAATGGCTGCAACAGCAAAGGCAGAGTCAAATCAGGCAACAGGTTTTAGTTCATCAACCAAATCAACAAGGGACTGTTGTTGGTGCCACTGCAGGGGCGATAAGAACTCAAGTGCCACAACAAGCAATACAACATCCGCGACTGCCGGTTAACGTTGTGTCACAGCCTGCCCCACAACAACAGCAGCAAGGATGGCAAGGAGAAACTGCAAATATTGCAGGAGTGCAACAGCCCGCAGTAGCTCCTACTCAGCAGCAACAGCAATTGATAAATATGCGACATCAACAGCTTCAGTTGCAAAGACTTCAGCATTTACAGTTACAAAAACAGCAACAGCAAGCTCAACAGCAGCAAGTTCAACAGCAGCAAGTTCAACAGCAACAAGTCCAACAACAGCAAGTTCAGCAACAACAACAACCACAGCAACAAGTTCAACAACAGCCCCAGCAGCCTCAAGTTCAACAAGTGCAGGTACAAGGCCCAACACCACAGAGAATGCCACATTATGTAAATGCAGCACAAGTAAATCTGGCAGCTGCTGGAAATCAACAGGTAATTTTGCAGCAACATCAGGTCGAACAAAATGATCCCGCTCATGATATTTTCGGTGTCGCTAATGGTGCACAAGGTCAACAACAGGGTTTAGTAGTGAACTCAAAAACCAAAACAGCACTAGCTAATATGTTAAGTATAAGATTGCAAAGTGGTGTCACAGCTAGTGGTGTAACTCCTGGCGATGGGAGTGCCGCTGGTCAGTTGAGAATGATGACCGCTCAGCACCAAGCTTTGCCTCCCCCTCCTCCACCACAACCATCTACACTACATTTTCAAAGGACAACTTTAGGAAATGTAAATAACAATTCTAGCATCGTTAGAAGTACAGAAAATGCAACCCCAGTAGTAGCAGGTGGTGTAAGCATGGCTAAGCCTGCTGCTTATGCACAAACTGCAGCTCGGGTGGCAGCTGTGTTACAAAAGAGTGCTTCAGGCGCTCCTGCCACCCAACCACACCGCCAGTTTTATGGCCATAATCCAAATTTAAAGCTTCCACCAGATATGTTTTTATTAGGGTGTGTTTTTCTGATAATGGAATATGATAGAAGCGGCCATGACGTTACTATGTGGAGAAGGATAATATTGGAAAACGGTGGCGAGACTGAATTGACTTATTCTCCTAGAGTTACTCATATTCTTTGTCAAACCCAGAAGCACCCGTTGGTTCAGCAAGGAGTGAGAGATGGTAAAAGATGTGTGACTGCTGAGTGGCTAAGTGACATTATGTTAAAACAACAAGTACTCCCGCCATGGTTGGCTTTACATTTCCCTACGCCTTTCAGTGATGAAAAACCATGTAGAAATTTAATTATAAGCCACTCAGGTTTTGAAGGGGAAGAACGAATTAAAATAAAAAAGATGATCGAAGCTGTCGGGGCAAAAATGACAAGCTATTACACGTCGCATAACAACATACTTGTTTGTAGAAGACCTGAGGGCGATAAATATAGGAAAGCCAGGGAATGTGGAAGGTCAGTTGTAAATGTCCAGTGGTTAAATGAAGTACTTTTTGGTCATTATTCTTGCCTTCAGCATCCAGAAAATCATAAATATCAACAATTTAACCTAGGGAATCCATTTCGAATTGATTACACTCTTGTACCTCATTTGATGGGAGCATGGAAAATTCCGATTCAAGTAACCCAGGAATGCTATGAAAGAGCCAAGGCGAGTGGTATTGTCGGACCAAAAAGAAAACGTCCTCGTCTTTCAAGTCCTACCAACAGCAATAATTTCGAACAAGAAAATATGTATCCAATCGATAATGCCTTCCCTCCAATTACACAACCGAAAGCAGTAATTATGTTTTCTGGCCTGGAAGGAAAAAATATGGAGCACGAGAACAAAGTGTACCATCTTGGTGGATCTGTGGCCAAAAATTGCCGTGAAGCTACCCACTTGGTTATGGGTAAAGTTCAAAGAACGCTAAAATTTATGTGCGCTTTATCAACATGTCGTTACATTGTAGATTTAAAATGGTTAACAGACAGTTTTGCAAGCAGTAAATTTTTAGATGAAAGCAATTATGTGGTTGACAATACCGAATTTGAGCAGAAATACAATTTTACTATTCAGAAAGTTCTATCTAACACAGATCGCTCCCGACTTTTTGTCGGTAGGATGTTCTACATAACACCAGGAGTTGTACCGTCGAGAGCCTCGCTCACGGAAATGGTGCAGTGTGCAGGTGGAGTCGTAGAAAAACAAAGAAAATCTCTGAAGCACATTCAGGAATTGGATATAAACAATTATTTTGTAATTACAATCGCAAACGATTTTCACCTCGTTAGCGATATAATTCGAGCTAATATACCGGTCTATGGGGCCGAGTTTGTTATGACTGCCATTTTAACACAAAAATTGCCATATGATATGGCATTTAGGAGAAATAATCAGAAAAATAAAGTTTAAAACTATTTTTGCGAAACTTATATTATTTAGATTTTTTTTTATTCATTGTGCATATTTGTCCAAAAGTGGCTGGAAAAGTTTTGCAATATTTCATTTTTCTCTCCTCCGCAATGTAACTTTGTGAATATCTATGTTAAATTTTCTGACTGAGGAATTCTGTTGAGAATTATCCTTGTTAGTATGTAAAAAGCATTTCTTTTTCTAATAGCCAATTTAAAATTTTTAGTTATAAACTTAAAAGAGTACAAAATCCTTATTTGTGGATTGGAAAAAAAAAGGAAACTATTTTTAAAAAATAATAATATTTTAATATTGTATTTGTGATATAGAAAATAAAATAAATAAAAATTATTATAATTTGTAAATATTTAAATGTAAAAAGTGTTTAATACAAGATTAAATGTTAATTGACTTTTATTTCTTTTTTTTCTTCCATTTTGATCTTTGGATGAATGAAGCTTTTTTGACAATGGCCTAATCTGCCTGTCAAGTTAATATTAGTTTGCTGATTGCTGATTTATATAAGGTCAAATTTGCTTCATGCCAGCGAGGTTGTGCTATCAACGGTTAGACCAATTCAGCGCCCAACGCATCCCTAATCCATTCACATACCCATTCACTCAATTAGGGCGGTGGAGTACTCTTTATTCCTCCAGCCCTTTTCACCTATTATATAACTAACCTAATAGAGGGTCGATGCGGTACTCAATATTACTGCGCATTCACACTAATAAATACATTCACTCTCAATACACGCTAGGGACACAAAACTATTGGAAGTCGCTACCGTGGTCAAGCACGATTCTCATATTGCGTGGTATTCCTCCCGTAGTTCTCTATATGTAGCCAAGAAATTGCACACTTCACTAATATTAGTTGTTTTAATATAAATTTAGTTATAAAATAAAATTAATAGCCATAAATTTGTGTTAAAAACTAGATAAGTGTCTGCGCAAGTATTAAAAAGTTAAAATATAATTAAATTGAATCATATTCTGTGATTTTATTTTTCATCTTGATTCAATCTGATAAGTTATTCAAACTCATCATTAGCGATTTCTCAACATCAGAATGAAACCGTGGATAACGAGAGTCTGCTGTGAAATTAATTCTTTAAAAGATGAGGTTAACTCAGATACAGTATGCCACTAATGAGTGGACTTAAGCATATTTTTTAATATTATTATATTTATTAACTAATGTAAAATTAACAAATGATCTCGTTTGACCAGTTTTAATAACTAATGTATTTAAAAAAATTACTCTGAATCTCAAGTGTCGATACTCTTGAAAAATTTTTGCTTGTAAATGTGTAAGGGTGAAAAAATCTCTTACCTTGTGTGTCCTCAAGTCCCAAATAATAATTTTAAAATAAATAATTAAAATAATAAAATAAAACTATAGAAAATAAGATGCGGAAAAACGAGCCTCGACAAGATGGAGTACTCTACCTTACTACTCCATTTACCCGCCAAAATACTTCTATACAAAAATTCTACAATAAATTATTTATAAATTATTTCAATGAAATTAGTAATTAATAAATTAATTAAAAATTTAAAAATGATTTTAGAAAAATGATTTTTCTAAATGAAAATCGGCAAACTTTCATACATCGATGAATAAAAACCAACTGCATTATTAAGAAAATATGTAAATATTATATGATACAAAGTTAAAATTAAAATAATAATAAAATAAATCATAAATTGCAATTAAGATTTAAAATAAACAATAAATTTTACTATTTTGCCGTTGCACACCAAATTTTTGAAGAAGGTTACACTTACTGTTATAATATTGTGTTCAAACAAATCATTCCAAATTGTTATTCAATCATGTTAAATAGTATTAAGTATTTAATTTAACTCCAGTCGGATTGCGATTGTATTTTTAAGGATGGAACCTTCAGAGGAACATTTGGCCGTTTTAAAAAACTATTTCGGCCATAAAGAATTCAGGCCGTTGCAGTGGAACATTATAAGGTCCATAATTAACGTAAGTTACTAAGCTGACAAGTATCTAGTATTCTTTATAATAGTTATGTAGTAGTACAGTTATAGTAAACTGGAGAAGTCATTGCTTGTAGATGCAGCAAAAGTCATGTCGTAACGACAAAGTGTATTGTATTCTTGTTTGCCTGTTAAATCTCTTCTGATGCAAACTAATATTTGAGAAATACCATGAACTGGAGAGTCTTGGCAAATTGGTGGTTGCTGTGTACCCGGACACACAGGTCTGTACGGGGATGAAAAGATGAGGCAACGAAGAGGGACAACTTGACATCCACTGCGATCTGGCAGGCTGATGCGCAATAAAAGCATGACCAAAAGTGTGGCAGCGTAATGAACTTGATCGGCAGAGAAGCTCACATATCAAGAGCACTGTTGATAGTGGCCCTCGGAGGATTTGACTCATAGAAGATGGGTCATTCTCACCCGATATGCTATGCGAGGTTGTCACACGGACATTTTTAAATCAAAGCCCATGTATTTGTCCACCATGTAGAGAAAAATTGCTCTTAGTCCCATTTACTTGAAGGGTGCAATTCCTTGGCTCCATTTAAAGAACGTGTAAGAATGCTGTGTGATACTGGGATCGTTTCTGGACAACATTAAGTATCTGGGTCCACTAATGCAAATTGATATTTGAGAAATACCATGAACTGAAGCATCTTGGTAAAACGGTGGTTGCTGGGTACCCGGATACATGTCTGTAGGGTGATGAAAAGGCGGAGGCAAAGAGGGATGTCACAACTCACAACCACGGTGATGCTCAATAAAAACATGACCAAAAGAACGTGGTAGTGTAATGGGCTTGATTGGTAAAGAAGCTCACATGTCGACAGGTGGCCCTTGGAGGATCTGACTCATAGACGGTGGTTCACCTGATAAGCCATGCGTGGATGACACACAGACATTTTGAGTCAAAGCTCAAGTATTTGTTCCCTATGTAGAGAAAAGTGTCCCACCTACTTGAAGGGTGCAATTCCTTGGCATCATTTTAAGAGTGTGTAGAAATGCCATGTGATAGAACCGTCTGTGCCTTTTGTGTTTTGCCGCTCCTAAGCCATATCTGGCTCTTTGCAGCTTCTTGGCTTGCGCTGCTATATAGCTTTTTCGATTATAGACGGAAGGTATTATTATGTCTTGTCTATTAGACGGTCGCATCTCTACTCCACCTGGCGAGCACTTTGTCACAGTTCTCATGTGATAGAACCATACTTGAGCACAGCAGTAAGTATCTGGATTACTGTACCGATATATCATACAGCATATCATACTGATATTGTTGCTCGATGTGCCCCACATATTGGAAGATGCAATTCCTTGGCTTCATTTAAAGAATGTGTAGGAATGCGATATTCCGAGGACAACAGTAAGTATCTGGGTCCACTAATGCAAACTAATATTTGAGAAATACCATGAATTTGAGCATCTTGGTAAAACAGGGGTTGCTAGGTGCCGAGACCCATAGGTCTGTAGGATAATGAAAAGGTAGATGAGGGGGCAAAGAGGGACGTTACAACTTCCTGACTTAATCACTGTGATCCGGCCCTCTGATGCGCAATAAAAACATGATTAGAAGAAAGTGGTTCAAGTTAATGAGTTGGATCAGCAGAGAAGCTCTCACATAGAAAAAGCACTGTCGATAAGTGGCTTTCAGAGGATATGACTCATAGAAGGTGGGTCACCTGATGAGCCATGCGAGGTTGGCACACAGACATTTTGAGTCAAAGCCCATGTATTTGTCCGCTATGTAGAGAAAGGTTGCTCTGTGTCCCCCCTACTTGAAGGGTGCCATTCCTTGGCTCCATTTAAAGAATGTGTAGGAAGGCCGTGTGATAGAATCATACTTGAGCACAGCAGTAAGTATCTGGGTTACTGTTCCAATTTTTGGAGGGTCGTTTTATTGTATATTATAATACTGTTATTGTTGCTTGAAGTGTCCATTTATTGAAAGAGTGCAATTCCTTGGCTCCATTTAAAGAATGTGTAGGAATGCGATATAGAGAACCTTTTTGAGGACAGCAGTAAGTATCTCGGTCCACTAATGCAAACTAATATTTGAGAAATACCATGAATTGGAGCATCTTGGTAAAATGGTCTTGCTGGATACTCAGACACATAGGTCTGTAGAGCAGTGAAAAGGCAGATGAGGTGGTGAAGTGGGACGTCACAACTTCCAGACTTAACCACTGCGATCCGGCCCTCCGATGCGCAATAAAAACATGATTAGAAGAAAGTGGCAGTGTTAATGGGCTCTCACATATAAAGAGCTCTGTTGATAGGTGGCCCTTGGAGAATCTGATTCATAGGTCATCCTCACCCAATAAAGACTAGGCCATGCCAGGTTGACACGGACACTTACTTTTGGGTCAAAGCTTGTGTAATTGTCCACCGTATAGAGAAAGGTACTGATTTTTGAAGAGTGGTTTTATTGTATGTACTGACAGCTGATATCCCACTTACTTGAAGGGTGCAATTCCCTAGCTCCAATGCCAATAAAACCACTGACAAGAGTGAAATGAAATGACCATTATTATAATTATAATAATAATTATTATTATTAATTTTTAACGGCGTTTTAACGGCTAAGGTCATTTCACGCCCTAACACCCAAACCTTCTCTCTTAGGTTAGCTATATCTCTTCTGAGTGCTATAAAGCTCTGACTCCAAACATTCACTTGTAATCTAATTTATCCTATTGCCATCCAAGCTTTAATTTTTCTTTTTAAAATTCTTTATTCGGAAGGCCAAATGTATACAAAATTCCCATTTTAAATTGCATAAAATTTAATAAAATTATAAAAATTATTTGTTTCTTTTTTTAATTAGAATTGTGAATTTTTGTTCCATAATTTAAAAATTCCCCGTTGGCTTGTATGGCTAATAATAATAATAATAATGGAGTCAGACTAGCAACAGTCTCGGCATGAGTATTGGCTCATCCTTATCCTTTTATTCTTCCATTCAAATATGATACATAAACTAATTCTACATAACAATAATAAGAAACAAAACACAATAANTATTATTATTATTATTGGTATTATTATTATTATATAATTGTTACATATTATTATTATTGACCAAATCCCTGGTGCACACTTAAAATATCAGTTGTCTATTCTAAAATAGCCTGGTTTTTATTTAAAAAATGAATTTTAGGTTGAACTCAATAGACAGGAATTGGAATTCTTTATTTTATTTTTTGTTGTAATTTTTAAACGTGCCACTTACAGATAACTAGGCGTTGGAGAGTTCAGATGTGTTCTGCACTAAAATATTTGGCAAAGAAAACCTGAGTTTAATGCTAATGTATTGCATTACCATTTTGAAGCATGCAAATTTTTTTTGTTTTATTAGCAGCAAAAATTGGTTTAAATTATAATTAATTATTGTTACAACAAAATCTTGCAGATATATGTATGCCAATATGACGGACTAAAGTAATTTGTGGAAGTCGTGAGGAGCAAGAATGAGGTAGTTTTTCATTTTTTTGCTGAAGTTTCAACCTTTATTTGGGTCATCTTCAGGGCGTAAATAATTTTTGACCGCTCCTCAGGACTTCAACAATGTATGAAAAAAAAAGCAGGTCACTAAGAAACAAAACCTGTTTTGTAACGAAAGTAAATAATTTATTTAGAATTATGTATAATTTTCAGGACCGGCGTGATAATTGCGTTGTGATGGCAACAGGTTCTGGTAAAAGCTTGTGCTTCCAGTATCCTCCAGTGTTTTGCAATGGGTTGGGTGTCGTTGTATCACCGTTAATTTCATTGATGGAAGACCAAGTTTTGGCTCTGAATGTAAAATTATCTCATTTAATATTTTCTTGTTCAAATCGAAGTTTTGTATATAAATATATTTCTTCGTATAGATGTGCAATATACCGGCGACGCTATTGGGCACTGCACAAATTTCAAAAAACATATATGCAAGAATAAACGATAACGAATTTAGAATTGTGTACGTTTCGCCCGAATGGCTTACTGGAGAATTTGGCTCAGAATTTTTCAGGAAATTGAAGAAAAAGGTTAAAATCACTCTTGTGGCAATTGACGAAGCACATTGTGTAAGCCAGTGGGGCATGGATTTTAGGTTTTCTTACAGGTATTATTATTATTTTTTATCCCTTTAATATTGTTTTCTTAATTATTGTGTTTTATTCAAGGAAGTTACGAGTAGTGAGAGAGATTGTAGGTGGCGATGTTCCAATACTCGCTGTGACAGCCACAGCAACTGAGCCTGTACAAAAAGATATTATTTCATCTCTAGGTTTGAAGTAAAAAAAGTTATATATTTTCTAAAGCTAAAATTTACACATTCTTATTTATTTTTTTATATTTAAGGAATCCTCTGATTACTCGAACAAGCTGTGACCGACCGAACCTTTACCTTTCAGCCTCCATTAAAGGAAGTGACCCGTTTATAGACATAAGAGATTTTCTATATAAAGAAAAGCTAAACTGTAGTTCCAACAGTTCGTGTATTATTTATTGTCCAACAAAGAAAAAAGCCAATAAAATTTCAGATCTTTTAAACTGTAATTTTTTTAATTATTAATTTTTTTTTCAATTGGTGTTTGATTATTTAATTTTATTTAGCTGGAGGAATCAAATGTTCCCTTTATCATGCTGATTTGAGTTTAAGCGTGAGGAAGAGGGTTCATAAAAGCTTTGCTTCAGACGAAATTCAAGTGATCGTTGCTACAATTGCTTTTGGAATGGGAATCGATAAACCAGGTACATTTCTGCTGTTTGTATTTATTTTTTATTTTTATTTTTATTTTTTTAATTTTAAATTTTTAGACGTAAGGCATATTATTCATTACGGAGCGCCCCTTGACATAGAATCTTATTATCAAGAGATTGGCAGGGCAGGAAGGGATGGGCTTCCAGCAGTCTGCCACGTCTTCTACAAGAATGCAGATTTCAGCAAAAAACAGTAAGATATTGTTACGAATATTAAAAAATAAGATGAAATTTTATTTATATTATTATATTATTTTTTAAAGATTAAAATTTTACTACAATTAATTAAGGTTTTTAGTTGAGATAAAAAAGTCAATGGCATGAGCGGGATTCGAACTCATGATCTTCGGCTGGATACGCCGCTGCTCTACCACTTGAGCTATCGTGACCTCGATCCACTCAGACACTAACTTCCCATCTCAACCCACTTTTCGAATTTTTCCTCCTTTTTGCCATTTTTCAAATGTCGTGTAATCAGATTGGATTCTTGATGACAAATGAAATGGCCACGGAGAGCTTTAGTGAAGTATACTTCATTTTAAATTATTAAATTCACTTATTTCGTGGTCCGCTTGACCAATTAATATGTTACAATTAATTAAGGTTTTTAGTTGAGATAAAAAAGTCAATGGCACTAGCAGGTTTCGACCCCATGATCTTCAGCCGTGGCCATTTCATTTGTCATCGAGAATCCAATCCGATTACACGACATTTGATAAATGGCAAAAAGGAGGGAAAATTCAAAAGGTGGGGTTGGATGGGAAGTTAGTGTCTGAGTGGATCGAGGTCACGATAGCTTAAGTGGTAGAGCAGAGGCGTATCTAGCCGAAGATCGTGGGTTCGAATCCCGCTCGTGCCATTGACTTTTTTATCTCAACTGAAAACCTTAATTAATTGTAATATATTAATTGGTCAAGCGGACCACAAAATTAGTGAATTTAAAATTTCACGTTTAATTTTTTTTTTTTTTTTTTTTTTTTTTTTTTTTTTTTTTTTTGTAGGTTTTTCTTTTCAAACCTCCAAGGGAAGTATAGAGAGCACAAGGAAAAAATGGCATTGTTAATAGAAGAATATCTTGTATCGACAGACTGTCGTAGGAAAATGTTGGTCAGCCACTTTGACGATGAGGCAAAACTGGAAAAACAAGAGAGATGCTGTGACAACTGTAGCAAGGAGTAATCATTTTATATAATTTTCATTAATTTGTTATAAAATTATTCTTTTACTAGAGGATTCTTCTTAGACTTTTTCAATTTAACTTTTAGAAAATTGAGATCTAATTTATACGAGTTACAATATGATCTAACTGAAGACGCTCTTTTGCTTTTAAACGCTGTTGAAACACTCGGAGGGAATTACGGCTTGCAGATGGCCGTGTTCTTATTAAGAGGCTCATCCTCAAAAAGATTTCCGGTCAAATATCAATCTTCGAAATTGTTCGGCACGGGCAACAATAAAAGTGACGAGTACTGGAAATTGTTAGGTGAGTTTTAATCGTCATCCGGCGATTTCTTCGGTTATAAATTGCTTTTTGAAACTTTTAGGAAATTTATTGATCAGGGTAGACCTTTTGGAAGAAATACACAAAACGAGCTGCGGATGGAATAAGAACAATTTCCCTTACAAAACACTTGCAGTTTCTGAAAATGGAAAAGCTTATCTCATAAAGTAAGAAAGACAATATTTACCAGCTTGTCTGTTAAGAAATCGTTTTAAAACAAAACTTATTTTTTAGCGAGAGGCATAGGAAAAAAGTTAAGCTTAAACCTACACTAGAAATGATTCCTTTTATTAAAAAATTTATTCCAAGGTATGCTATATCACAACTATTCAAAAGGAAAAAAAAATAGTTTCTTTATAGTTATAGGACAAAAGGAGAATGGCTCTATTCTTCAGCTGATGAGCCATCATCGTCTTTGGTGGATGACAAAAGTTTGCGGCAACCGTTACTCGAAGTTAGTAATTTTATAAATATTAACAATAAACTTAAGAAGTAAAATAAAAGTATTAATTAATCTGTGCTATTAAAAACTTGTGACAGTTTGATAAGCCATGTTGGGTTATTCTCGCTGTATTATAATTGGATTGGTCTAATCTAAATTTTATTTATTAGGATTTAGTTTATAAAGAAATAGAGAAGTTCCGTTGTAGAATGGCTACGAGCTTGGACTGCATACCTTACATGGTATTGAGCAGCAGGACAATGCAATTACTCGCTCAGAAGAGGCCGTGTACCATCGAAGAAATGTCCAAAGGTAGTTTTTCATTATTAATAAATAAAGACCAGATTTCCATCTTTTTATTGCTAACTCTGAATGCAATGAAACCAAGAAAGAAATTCAAATCATGAAAAGAACTTTTTTTTACACTACTTTTATTTTCCATGTTTTGGTACTATTGCATGAAATTGCATGTTTTTACAGATTTGGAAGATTACTTTTATTTTTTTAAATTAATTTAATTTAATTTTTTTTTAAAATATAAGTATTTGCTTCTTCTTAGCTTTATCCTTCAAGATCTTTAATAAGAAGCAACCTTTAAAAGAGAAACAACTAAAAACAAAGTTATTTTTTTGCAATTTTTTTAAATGTTCATTTTAATTTTATGCATGAAAACAATGTAAAAATGCAAAATTTTTATGGGTTAGAAGTATTGGGGGTGTTGGTGGCCAAAATAGTTAAGGCGTTGACATGGCGCTGGCTCTGGTTTTGAATCCAGCAGCCCTAAATACTTACAAATTTAAAAAAAAAATTATTTATTTTATTTTTTATTTTAAACACTAGCATGATGTTACAAACCCCCAAAGTTTTTAACTTCTGATTCCTAGAATTTTTTAAGATATTGTTTTATGTACGACTTCCCCTATTCTGCTCTGTTCATTTGCGTGTGTCTCACGTTTCATTTCTCATTCTTTTTTTTTGGCTTAGAAGCAAAGCAGAACCACTTAAAAAAAAAGTTCCAAGTACCTAAAGTTCAAAATTTTGTAGCTACAGGGTATCCAATATTATTTCAAAAGAAAAGAGCAGGTATTTTCTATTTTGAAACACATTCTTGATTAGAGGTTGGAGGTGTTGAATTAAAAAATTAATAAAATAAAATAATAATAATAATAATAATTTTTTTGGGGAACATTTTGAGATATTTATTGCTCATGTTGAAGTTTTTTGTTCATGAAAATTTGAAACGATGAATTATTTTTTCAGTTGAAGGCATAACGAAAAAGAATGTAGAAACATTTGGAAAAGAGCTGTTAGAATGTATAACAAAATGCCAAGAATCCTATAAACCAGATAGTTCAAAGTATGAAATAATAATAGTTGAATTTTAATTATCAATAATTTATTTAATTTAATAATTAATTTGCAGAGTACAAGATGTTCAAAAAAATTTGAAACGATTTGTTCCTAAAACCAAAAACATTCTTAGGTATTTAATTTTTGTTTGTTGAAAATATACTTTTATTTGTTCATTTTATGAATATTTTGAATTTAAATTTTAGTTACAAAAATGATAGTGATGACAGGATGTCTAGTACATTAGTAGATCCATCATCTCAATCGGCTGATGATATGTCTATAGGTTCAACTAGGCCTAATGAATTACCTGAAGAAGGTACAATTTTAGAGGAAGAAACCTTAAAAGAATCTCAGTCTCGTTCGAGCAGTCCATCAACAGTCGTCTCGTTTAAATCGGCAGCCGAATCGTTCCAGAGCGCGTCAAAAGAGTCGGTCAAATCTCCGGAAGGGAATTACCTTAGCGACGACGATGATTTTTTCTCGCTTGTCAGCGAGGATATGCTTTCTCAAAAAAATACCATACAACCTTCTCAAGGCGTTCAGAACAAAGTGTCGATACCGACAAAACGAAAAAGAATCTCTTATGAAGAAGAAACTCCTGTTCAACCCAAATGCCCAACGAATGATCCACGCACTTTAAACACCCGACCGACAAATCCCTTAATGGGGAAAAGTGAAAAAGAATTGATTGTACAAATAAACAAGGAAAAGAAAAATATTTTGAAAAAGAAAATTAAGTTGTAAAACAATTTGAATTATTTTAAGATTCATGAAAATAAAGGTGTAGATAATTTATAAATTTAATACTTACATTTGCATATAAATAAAATTAATGTATGAATCTGTTCTTACAAGGTATGGACTTTTTTTGTTTTATTTTTCCATACAATCTCATTTAATTTTTTTTTTTTTTTCAGATCTAACGGACATAAGCGTTTTTATTAGGTATTCATAAATCGAAAAGCCAATTAACATAATATTTTTATTATAAATTATTCAGTAGTAACAAAAGATCTTCATGGCACTTAAAACTAAAGAAAATTTGTCAACAATTTATACAAAAATAACAATGACGAAAGGGGATAATCGGTCATTATTTTGTGAAAAAATATACAAAGTATCCATTAAAATACCTAAATATCCATAATTTGAGCAATGTTGACTAAGGGAAAAATATTTTTCACCGACCTATTATATACCTATATATACATGGTAACAGAAAATATATAATTTTTTAAAAATTTATCACCATTATATACAATAATTGACAATATTGAAATAGGAACACATTGTTTACACTAAAATTACAAAATAAAATTATATATACAGTTATTTACGAATCACAATTATCTGAAACCCGCCCAAAATTTAATTTGAAAAAAAAAAGTCTTTCGTCTATATCACACTTTATTGTTTAAATTTGTCGTCAGTATGACCGTTTCGTTAACAGGTAACACCTCGACATCTCTTTTCGTTTCTCTTTGTACTTTTTTTATGTAATAAAAAAGGAATACAGCTGAAATAAGGGTAGCGAATAAGGTCCCCCACATCAGAGCGTACTGCATACGCTTCACTGTGAATGTCGCATGATAAATAATATTGAACAACTCTGGTGGCATTTTTTCCGCTGACTGAAATGTTTAAATTATAAAATTATTAAAAAAAATAATAAAAATAAAACTATGTATGTACAATTTATAAACTTACGACTTGAAGCCAGACGACTGGCAAGATAATTTCATTGGGAAAACCTTTAATCTCAGGCATCCAAGTTGATTGGTGTATTTGTATGTTTAGCTGCAACCTTGATACTGTACCAAGTGTGAAACCCAATAGCTAAAAATTATTATGATTAGTGTCGTCTTCCGAAGACTGGGTTTCAAATCCCACCCAATATTGTTTTTTTTTAAAATCTCAAATCTCTTGTTCAAAAATTAGTAAAAAAAAAAATGCTGAACTCACTCTTTGTATATCAATGTAGAATTCGTGTTTCTCAGGGTCAGGATGAAGTCCTTCAAACGGTTCGCTAAGAGAAGGATCACCGTATAGAAAATGGGGAAACGACATCATTATAGGTGCTCCTAGAATTTTTTTTTTCATTGTATAATTTTATCACAGACATTTGATCTCAATGATGGAGCTAAATTACCCATAGCACATGGCGAAAGATCAAATACACCGTCCGGTGCACATCCAGACTCCGGACAATAGCAAGTTCCATTTGTATTGTAAACATCAGGTGCCGCATGGAATCTCATTGCTACCACCCCATCTTGAAACTTAAAAAAACAATATTAAAATGATCTATCAGCTATAATGTAATGAAAAACTTACCTCTACTTCTTTTTCATAAACGAATGGCATCTTGCGACACATGTCTTTGTGGAATAAATAAATAGTTGCTGATTCGTTGAGAGTCCTCCTTGGGAAAAATGCTCCGTCGCTTCCATCGATCTTGTTACACTCTTCCTCCGGCCAAGCGTCCAAAGAGGTTTGACCGTTTATTTCTGTAACTACGCCGATTCTGTCTACATCGTTCGTTCCTGTCCTGACAGTTGTCGTTTCTTCAGTGATCGCAGCTCTCTTTGCATAAAATAATAAATAAAAATCAAACACTTTTTATCTAATTAGAAACTAAATTTTTTAAATTCAAATATACCTGTGCGAGAATCCCAAATTTGTCAAAAGGTACATCTTGCTGTAGAAGCCTCGCTATTTCAGAGCCGTATTTGACTATCCTATCATTATAGCCAAACAAAAAATCGTGAGCTGTCACACTGATGGTTGAATTTGTAAACCTGATGATATTTCTTAAAGTGAACGAAATCCCAACCTGCAGATAGGGGGATAAGTGCCTGCTCATTGCAACAGTACTCTGTAAATAAATAATACAATAATCACCATTTTAAATATTATAAAAAATTAATTAATTAAGACATTATTCAGAATATACTCACAATAAATGACAAATTTGGAACGATTACGGTATCGTTCTGAAAACCTTTTGAATAAGATGGTTCAAACTCGTGCTTCCTTGTGTCACCATAAGTTACAGTGCCGTCATTATTGAAAGTGATGTTCTTTTTCTCCAGAGTTTCCCTAATAGGAAAAATATTAGTATTTTTTGTGTGTGTATTGCTGGTGATATTGAAAAGTTTATTTTTTATTTTTTTTATTCCCACCCAGCAAATATTCCACTCTGTATAACTTTATTATTAATAATATTTATGAATAAAAAACTAATCTTGAGCTTGCTCTGGCCTCAATTCACTCTCAACTCTATAAAGATCTTGATCATACAGATCTCTATTTTATTTATTTATTTTTTAAATAGATTTATTTTAGTTTTAGGGCTAGTTAAACACTGGTCATATGACAATGACATCTGTATTTTTCACATATTCATCCTACTAATTAATTTTCCTGTTTTTCAAGCCAATCAGACCAATTAGGATGTTAACCGACACTTTTCATTATCCTATTGTTAGCCTCATTATCTATCTGTACCTAAGGTATCATAAATTGTGGATAATATAACCCAAATAAATAAAAATACACATAAAAATAGAAACAAGGCAAAGTACAAGATAATCTGGTTCATCACACAACTTCTGAGTATGCTACAGTTCACAATACACCGGGAACTTAGTATTCCTCGAGATAATTAAGGATAAACCATTCCATTCACAGTAATTACATTTGCACACCACAATTCATTTACACTATCAGAGTTCTGGACGTTCCCTGGGGTAATTGGGAATAAGTCCATTCATGCTAATAAATTAATTCATACACCAGACATTGTTCACACCATCCAGAATACTTGATATTCCTCAAGGTAGATGGGAATTAGCCTCTCCATTCACACTAATAAATTATATTCAAAGCAGACTTTGTCCACACTTCCCTAGAGTACTCGTTATTCCTTGGGGTAAATGAGGAGAAACCCTCAATTTTTACTAACAAATTACATTCGCACATCGCAATTCAGTCATACTATCTCAGAGTTCTGGACATTTCACAGGGTAATTGAAAATAAGTCCATTCGCGCTAATAAATTACATTCACACCACAATTCATTTTCATTAACCGAGATTATTAGACATTCCTAAAGGTAACTGGGAATAAGCCCCTCCATTCACGCTAATAAATTACTAACCCACACCACACTTTGTTCACACAACACCAGAGTATTCAATATTCTCAAGGTAATTGGGGGTAAGACCCTCCATTCACGCTAATAAATTACATCCACATTAACTCGAAGTACTGGATATTCCGCTGGGTAACTGGGGGATATTCCCTCCATTCACGCTAATAAATTACATCCACATCACAATTCATCCACATTAACTCGAAGTACTGGATATTCCTCGGGGTAATTAGGGGATAAACCCTCCATTCACGCTAATAAATTACATCCACATCACAATTCATCCACATTAACTCGAAGTACTGGTTATTCCTCGGGGTAATTGGGGGATAAACCCTCCATTCACGCTAATAAATTACATCCATACCACAATTTATTCATACCTACCCAGCAGAGTATTTTTTTTTTTTGAAATTCAATAAAATTATTTTTTCTTCAGTTTTCAATTAAAACCCACCGTCTATTATCATACTAACTTAAAAATGAAGTTTAGTTTATCAAATCATTCTGTTTGAGGACAAAATTCAGAAAAGCCTCAATCTTGTTAACACATAAGTTCATCTATCATCACACGAATACGGCGCAAATATGTATTGCTAGAAATACATAATAATTTAATAATTAAAAACCTATTAAGAATGTACCATACCTGGTTTACATTACAGTAAATAATTTAAAGTTTATACTTCTTATTTGGTTGCTTGTGTTTGTATTTGTGTTACATTAAAAAGTAAGAATCTCATTTGATGATCAATTTTCTGGATTTTAGTTGATCTATTATTAAAAATAAATATAAACAATATCAAACTATTTCAGGTTTGGGGGTTAAATATTTAAATTGAATTTATATCTGGGAATTGTACTATTTCTGCTATATTAATGCTTTTTTATTGTTCGTTATTTTAGCTTATTAAAACGATAATTTTGGTAGAAATCATTGTTTATTGTTTTAACAATTTTATTTGAGTAATAAACATTAAAGTGAGCAGGGATTTAAAGAAGAGCTTAAAAAAAGCTTCCTTCCCACAGTGATTTCTTAAAATACCTGGTAGGGTACTGTCCGACCTTTATAAATATAAACTTTCTCCCCTATTCTTTGCTCCAAATGAAGAGCGGAAACAGTAAAACTAAAAGATACTTAAGAATTATTTGGCTACCTGCTGAAAGGGGTCATCGACTGTTAAAAACCAGGCGTCTTCTGGGCGCGCCTCGACGTCTTCGTCGGTCAAGAATTACTCAAAAGCCTTTTAATGGACGAAGTTGTACGAATAAGGCAAAAGATGTAAAAGGCAGACCACCCTCTTGACTTGTCAAGTAGATTTTGATATGTCAGACCTATGGACCTTCGATTCTAAAAATGTCATCGGCAAATTCAGTCTAATTTCATATTCTTCTTCTTACAAAGGTTGGCGATTATGTCTAAAAAATTTTAAAACAATTGTTTGGCCGTTTATCTGGTTTTTATCAAGACCGATTTGATATGATCACCTTTTGACCTTTTCTCATCCCGCAGCACGTTCGTTCAGCTTTAATGATATTCCCCGGGTGTTGACTGATTCCGACCTATTATCTTTATTTTACAGGAGTCTTATAAATTAAAATAAAAGAAAGAAACCGAAACGTTAAAGAAAACAACGAGATTAGACTGCCACAAAGATAATAAGTCGAGTAGAAATCTTTGAAAGACCGTCTGAACAATCTCTAAGATGGCGAAATTCCGATAAAACCTCTGATCAAAACAAACAGCAATAACAGCCAACAATGATCAATAACGAAAAGACTGCGGACAAATATGATTATTTCCATCATCAGGTAATCCTGGATCATCGCGCCGTCTGCCTTTCAGAAAAACAAACTCTTGTCTGAAAAAGGGAAAAATCAGAGGATTAAGCTGGCATATAGATCAAACTACCGAAACTTAGTAACAAAGAACTAAAAAAAAGCTGCATGGTACGCACTATCTCGCTGTTTTACCAAAACCAAACGCAAGTTGTTAAAGTTTCTTTAAAGTCATGTATCTAAACTTAAGTTTCGACATATGTATTTTATGAGACAATAATTTCAAACATAAAAGTAGGAAAAAAAGCAAAATTCGTGCGAAGAAAGCAAAATAAAGAAATTAAACAACATACAGGAAAAGAAACCAAAATAACCAAATGTAACATCCATTTTAATTAACACCCACTTTTTCATGTTTTATGTAAATATTATTATGCTGTAGCCTTCCTTCGACTGCAGTATTTAGATTGAAGTTTCTTCAGGGTAAGAAATTTCTTCAAAATCAAGATTTCTTTTTTTAATCTATTTTTTTTCTCTCCAGAAGTATGCAATTTGCCCAGTACGAAATCCGAAACTTGCCTGAAGAAGGGCCAAATAAGAATATCCTTCAGGACAATAAACTATCCACTAGCAGACAAGCCAGGTTGGTTCGCCTAATCTCGCTGATTATCCTTTGACCAGTTTGAAAATTTTTGAAATATTACTTCAGTAATAAAACCAATTTTACTACTATCTACATTTTACGGGAGTAGGACAAAATAAGGAGATTAAACTGCGTTGTCTGGAATTTGTTTAGCCTGACACCAAAATGATCAGCGATCCATTTTGCTGGAGATGAACCTGTAGTTTCCGATCATTTTGGTCTGACTATCCTCGCTGTTTTTGGTTTCGCAAAAGTGTAATGTTTGACAGACCCAAAATTACTATAACAAACCAAAATGATCAACAACCAAACTAATATGTATTGAATGAACCAACGTAGTCCTCATAGTTGTCCGCATTATCGCAGTATGGGCATTTTCTCTGGACCTTCGTATCTAACGTCAAATGAATTTAGAATACTATCATTTATTTGTATTTTAAGAAATGACATGCAAAAACAAGGATAAGAAAAACGATGCTTAAAGGCAAAATAACCAATAACAAAATAATAAATAATAACCAAGGATTATAAAGTATAAGCCTTGGGTGATATGTCACTGTCTTTCTGGCTGAGACTTTGTCTATTGAATTGACATTACCAACAAAAGAATAGCCATCTATTTCATCGGTTGACAAAGATTTTAACGCCCTACAACAAAACTACCCTTGTTTGGGTTCAAGAACAACATGGAGACCAATAAATAGGCCAAGGAAAGTTCAATCCAAAAACACCTATAGGACATGAATCCTTTTGCGGCATACCAAATAGCTAAGAAGTCAGATCCATCAGACCATGAATTAATTAAGTCATTGTTTCAGTGGGGTTGTATTCCAGGACAGAGGCAAAAATTCATCAAAGGATACAGACAGCAGAACTACTAAGGGCGTACTATGACTAGCATGATTCTAAGACTACTGACAGAACACAGCTGACTGTAGAGGCATATAGACTCGGAACATCAGAAACAATGAAGGCATGAAAAAAGCAATCATCTTCTGTTAGTGCGCAGGTCTATGCATGCTGATATAGGAATATCAGAGAATATGGGAGAAAAAAAGCCAAGGCCTGAATGATACAAATGGGACCTCTTAAGCAATGGGGTAAAAAACTTTCAGTTGAAAGTTAAGCGTTCAAAGCTCCAGAAAATAATAGAGATTTGAACAATAGGCGGTCCGCAAGGTCGTGAAGAGGCCACCTCCTGTTAACCTTAACCTTAACATTAAGGCAAAATAGTAAAATTACGCTTTTACTTTTACAATGTAGCCAGAAGATATCGCTGTTTTCTATGGAACCGAAATCGTATGAAAGGAGTAAAGTAAGTAGATTAATTTCAACCAACTTCTTTTTTTATTAACTTTCAAACAAAAAATGGATCGTGTTTGGTTTTTTAAAATTATCGTTGTAACATCTGGGTCCGTTTGTTCTCGATGTTAAATAACAGAAATACTGAANTTTTTTTTTTTTTGGAGAAACGACATAGACACATTGAACATGGCGAAATGACAAAACGAGTCTGATTAACCAACCAATTAGCTAGAAATAAGCTATTATGATTATTTTTGGAGAGACGACGTAGACACATTGAACATGGCGAAATGCCAAAAGCGTCTGACCGATTAATTAGCTAGAAATAAGCTATTATGATTTTTTTTGAGAAACGACATAGACCCACTGAAGATGGCGAAATGCCAAAACGAGTCTGATTAACCAACCAATTAGCTAGAAATAAGCTATCATGATTTTTTTTTTTTTTTTTGGAGAAACGACATAGACACATTGAACATGGCGAAATGACAAAACGAGTCTGATTAACCAACCAATTAGCTAGAAATAAGCTATTTTTTTTTGAGAAACGACATAGACACATTGAACTTGGCGAAATGCCAAAACGCGTCTGATTGACCAATCAATTAGCTAGAAATAAGCTATCATGATTTTTTTTGGAGAAACGACAGACACATTGAACATGGAGAAATGACAAAACGAGTCTGATTAACCAACCAATTAGCTAGAAATAAGCTATCATGATTTTTTTTTTTTTTTTTGGAGAAACGACATAGACACATTGAACATGGCGAAATGACAAAACGAGTCTGATTAACCAACCAATTAGCTAGAAATAAGCTATCATGATTTTTTTGGAGAAACGACATAGACACATTGAAGATGGCGAAATGCCAAAACGAGTCTGATTAACCAACCAATTAGCTAGAAATAAGCTATCATGATTTTTTTGGAGAAACGACGTAGACACATTGAACATGGCGAAATGCCAAAAGCGTCTCATTTACCAATCAATTAGCTAGAAATAAGCTATCATGATTTTTTTTTTTTTTTTTTTTTTTTTGAGAAACGACAGGCACATTGAACATTGCGAAATGCCAAAACGCGTCTGATTGACCAACCAATTAGCTAGAAATAACCTATGCTGATTATTTAATTAATTACCCTTTTAAAAAGAAAAAAACAAGTTGATTGCACTTTTGACAATTTTCATTAAGTAAGTGTCAAATAGACAAAGCGATCGATCTCACTTGCATTTTCATTTACATAACGATAATAATTTATCTCTACAGAGGAAATTGCTCACCAATACAAAAACTTAAGTATAATTAATTATCGAAAGCCCACCTGTAGCAGTAAGGGCCGACTTCTTCCAATTTAATTTTCTCGTCAAGCCCTTGAGAGAACCTCGGGAGGTTCGTATAATTGAAAATGTGGACGCAAATCAGCGGCTTGACCGGCGGTTTCCTCCACGCCTCGTACACATCCGAACCTTCTCTTATGGTCATTTGCTGAAAAGATAAATTTATCATGAGACAAAAAGTTGTGAAATAATCTTAATTAATTGTTTATACTTAATGGGGTGAACAAAAACCACTATAAACCAAAAGGAAGTTTTATATATCTAATTGATTTTTTTTTCAGCAGAAGTCATGCCCGAGTGCTGCGAGTGTTAAAAAAAAAATTATGCAAAGTATGTCGGGTTCGAACGCAGGGGAACTGGATTCGAACCCGGGACCTTCACCTTACAGTGATGAACCTATTGGCTAAACAATTGCGGCCCCCTATTTATAGAAAATATTGCCCTTCAGACGGTTTGCCTTGTAATAAAGCCGATTTTTACTGTAAAAAAATTAATTAATTATTTTTTATGCAAAGTATAATGGAGTTAAAAAAATTAGTGTCTCGAGGAAAGAAGTCACGACAGCTCAAGAGACATCCGGAGTCGAGGGTTCGAGTCTTGTTCGTGACACTAATTTTTCAACTCAACCATACTTTGCATAAAAAATGATAAATCAATTATAATAATTACTTCGTTTAATAGGACCAAATAAAACATATATATGTTAAAATATATTTTGACTCATTTATTTTTACGTTCTTGGTTGATACAATCTTTAAATTTAACACAAACATCCTCTGTAATCTTATCAAATGCCGTGCAGTCTAAAGTTTCTTCCCCCTCTATTTTTTTTTTAAAGATACAACCTCAATTCCGCCTGTAATAAAAGGCTGGGCCGGCTTAAATTGATTTCTTTCATGTCTGGTCCACCTTTTCTCGCTTTTTGGCTGGACTTTTTGAGTATAACCTTCGTTGGTTTTGCGCGATTGACTAGAAAAATATGACAGTTATTAAATTTTTATTTTATTTTAAGAAAGGTCTTGGTTGAGATGAAAAAGTTGACACGAGCGGGATTGGAATCCACGACCTTCAAGTGGTTAGAGCAGCGGCGTATTAAGCCGAAGGTCGTGGGTTCGAATCCCGCCTGTGGCACTAACTTTTTCATCCCAACCAAGACCTTTCTTAAAATAAAATAAAAATTTAATAACTGTCATATTTTTCTAGTCAATCAGTAATCTTCGTGCAAAACCAACGAAGGTTATACTCAAAAAGTCCAGCCAAAAAGCGAGAAAAGGCGGACCAGACATGAAACAAATCAATTTAAGCCGGCCTAGCCTAATATTTTATTACAGGAGGAATTGAGGTTGTATCTTTTTATGTCTCGGTTGAGATGAAAAAGTTAGTGCCACGGGCGGGATTCGAACCCAAGACCTTCAAGTGGTTAGAGCAACGGCGTATTAAGCCGAAGGTCGTGGGTTCGAATCCCGCCCGTGGCACTAACTTTTTCATCTCAATGAAGACCTTATATAAAAAGAATAATTAATTGAAATAATTAATACGGTCAATTAGACTACTAAACATAAATGAGGTTATTTTAAGATTTTATCCCAGTGCTCAGTATTTTTTTTTTCCAACTAATTTAATGCTCAGTACAACGCATAATTCTTTAGTTCTTATAAAAATTCAATTTTTATTTAATGATATTTAAATGAATAAGGGTAATTAACAAAACATCTGTTTGTTCCGCATCCCTGAGGATTGTAAATACGTCGTTTCGTCCAAGGGCAAAAAAAGCGAAAACTTATGGACCCATATTGCGATTTAAAATCCGAATGTCGCCGTCGGGTTTAATCAGTTGAATGACGTGATTGCGTGTCAGGGATTTATATTAAATGAAAAATTGTTAAACCTGTTCACATTTCAAATTTGTCAGCTTAGGAGGAAAAATCTATGACTGATAGAGTAATATTTGACATTTTATTTGGTCTCATTAGATTAGAGATGATTATCGTGAAATTAAACGACCAATTGATACTGTCTGACACAATTTAAAAGCCAGTAGTGTATCGTAGGAAAAGGAAAAACAATCTCATAATTTAAATAATTATCATAACTTGTCAATAATTAGAAACACGTCGATGAAAAGTTCACGCGAGTTAAAAATGTACTTTGACTAATTTTAATTACAAATTTTCAACTCTGCCACGACCCTGATTGGTAGTTTTATTTTAAATTATTAAGTAACAATTTGTTTTGTTTGTTTTCCAGGCTGTGATAAACTCGTTACATATACATTTCCTGGATGGAAGGAACGGCTGTTTAATCTATAGACAGCAGTTTTCCGGTCGAAATTTTTGCTTGTAAACAGGCAAGATGAAAAATTTATAAAAAAAAGTTTTAAACAATTACTGTTTGATCTTTCCTTATCATCCGGCCCGCCTATTCTCTCTTATGTTTAGTTAGCTTAATATTCAAGTCTATCTTTACATTATAACCTGAAAAAATGACGAAAGAGATGAAAATAATTTGTAAAGGAAAGAATGTAAACGAGAAGTTTAACATTTATTCTTTGTGTTGCGATTAGAACAGGTTTTTTCGAGCGTTGGCACGAGAGAAACATGCGGACGTCCAATGGAAGGCCGGAACGCGTCATAACCGTAACAGTCAGGGACGATCAAATTGTAAAAAAAAAAAATTCACTGAAACAACACATGCATTTGTTTTTTGAGTACCGGACGTTTTTGAATTGTTTTTTTTTTTTTTTTTATCAAGGCGAACTGTATCCGTGGCATTGACAGTGGTTCGAAGGCCGAGGATAAAGCATATCTTTAAAAAGTGCCATAGCGTACAGTTTTATGCCGACGGTTACTTTCCTACGTAATAAACTTTTTCGACAAATAATAATTTTCGACCAGGCTTTCCCTAATTATATAATAGGCGGAGTACAACGACCGGCAGAAACTGATTTCCGTCGAAAACAACACCGAATCGCGGTTTGACCTTTGCCAAATGGCCAAAATAGGCGGACCGGGTCGTCGATCTATTTACAATTCGTTTACGCCTTAATTTTTTTTTATTATAAGTTTTACCCTAAAATAAAATATCCTATAAAAATCTTTAGCAAAATGTCAATAAAACTTACCATTACAAGTAATTTTAACTGATAATTATATTTGATTAGTTCAATTGACTTACATTTATTATTTCTTCGACGTAAATATCTGTGAACCACATAACACAACATCCAGCCAGACTAGTTAGAAACACACAGATTAATCCAAAGATACCTGCAATACAGATCAATTTTTTTAAAGAATAAAAATAAACGCTAAATATTTAAAATATAATATCAACAGTCCAGGCTTAAAACTGATGTTTGAAACTTAAAAACATTTAAAAACTTAAGAAGATATTTTTTTTCTCGAAATTTTAAAGAAAGATGGCAAAAGGCAGTAAACGTTGGCCATGAGTTATGAAACAGAGTTCAAAATAGTTTTGACTATAAATGACCTTTTGCTAATCGGGGTTATCATTAATGATCATTGATGTGAGGTTTTCCGATAAAGGTTGGCGGATCCTGTTCCTGTGAATGGCGTTTAGACAAACCGGTTATATTAGGAACAAGAAAAGAAAAAATCGAATTACAGTGCGCGTAAAATATGAAAATAAAAAAACCAAATTATCCTTGACCTGTGCCATACATGTAATTGACCGAAATATAATTTCCTATATGAATAGAAATCTAGATTTTGTCCTCATTAAATGAATTCAATTAAATGAAAACGAAAACCGTATTGAAATTCAAAAGCCAAAACATTTAAAAAAAAAAAAATCGGTTCTCTATCTCAGAAATGTGTAACCGTAGGAAGTTTTCATTGGATACACTTATCGAATTGATACTCGATAAACTGAAGACGCATTTAGAAAAGAACTAGAAAAAATTATGGAATTGAGACTACGCAAAAAGAAGACCTAAGAAGAAAAAAGAACTTTTATAGATATTTGAGCTTTTATGTCTCAGAAATGATTAAATGTAGGAAGTTTTCTTTGGATACACTTATAAAATTGACACTTGATAAAAAGAAGACCTGAGAAGGAAAAGTTGGATTTATATTTGAAGGATTGATATATGGTCAAAAGGATTGATATATGAAATTTTATATCTCAGAAATGAGTGAACCTAAGAAATTTTCTTTGGAAACACTTATGGAATCGACAATTGATAAAAGAAGACCTAAGAAGAAAAAAGATCTTTGGCATATTTGAGCATTTATGCCTTAGAAAATGAGTAAAACTAGGAAGTTTTCTTTGGAGACACTTATGGAATTGACACTCGATAAACAGAATACGCATTTAGAAAAAGAACTTTTATAGATATTTTGAGCTTTTTTGTCTCAGAAATATGTAAACGTAAGAAGCTTTCTTTGAAGACACTTATGGAATTGACACTCAATAAAAAGAAGAAACAAAAAGAAAAAGAACCTTCCTAGATATTTGAGCTTTTATGTCTCAGAAATGAGTAAATATAGGAAGTTTTCATTATAAAAAATAAGGAATTGACAATTGATAAAAAGAAGACTTAAGAAGAAAAAGAACTTTTTAAAAAATAGATATTTGAGCTTTTATGCCTTAGAAATTGAGTAAACCAAGTAAGTTTTATTTGGAAACACTTAACGAATTGACACTCGATGCAAAAAAGACCTGAGAAGAAAAAGAAATTTTATAGAAATTAAGCTTTTATGTCTCACAAATGAGTAAATATAGGAAGTTTTCTCTAGAAACAATTATGGAATTGACAATTGATAAAAAAAGACCTAAGAAGAAAAAAGAACTTTTATAGATATTTGAGAGTTTATGTCTCGAAAATGAGTAAACCTAGGAAGTTTGCTTTACAAGACTTATGGAATTGAGACTTGGTAAAAAGAAGATCTAAGAAGAAAAAAGAACTTTTATAGATATTTGAGCTTTTATGTCTCAGAAATGAGTAAATGTTGGAAGTTTTCTTTGGACGCACTTAACGAATTGACACTTGATAAAAAGAAAAAACAAGAAACAAAAGAACCTTTCTAGATATTTGAGCTTTTATGTTTCGGAAATGAGTAAATGTTGGATGTTTTCTTTAGAAACAATTGTGGAATTGACACTTGATAAAAAGAAGACACAAGAAGAAAAGGAATTTTCATAAACGTTTGAGTTTTATACCTCAGAAATGAGTAAACTTGGGAAGTTTTCTTTGGACGCACTTAACGAATTGACACTTGATAAAAAGAAAAAACAAGAAGAAAAAGAACCTTTCTAGATATTTGAGCTTTTATGTCTCAGAAATGAGTACACCTAGGAAATTTTGTTTGAAGGCACTTATCGAATTGTCATTCAATAAAAAAAAAACACACAGGAAGATAAATATCTCTTTTAGATATTTGAGCTTTTATGCGGAAAATAAATAAAAAATCAAACTTTTAACGACTTTTTTAATTTTGAGCATTAGAAATGAACGAAATACGACGTTTTCATTAAAAAATGATCCTAGATCTTAATTATGATTTATAGGATTTTTAAGTAAAGATAAAATAACTGAATTGAAACTGACCATTACGCTACTATTAGAAATGCTATTACCAGAAACACTCGATAAAAAGAAGGAACAATAAAACTCGACTTTGATCTTTTATATCTCAGAAATGAACCTAGATTTTCTTTCTTGAAATGACACTCGGCGGATAGGTACTACGTTAAGTATTAATAAAAATAAAGAACTTTAACAAAAACAATTTTTTTTCTTTCAATCGAAGGAAATATGGTGAATTTGTCTAAAGAAATACTAAGATTTTTGTACTTTTGAGTACCAGAAATGAACGAAATACGACGTTTCCATTAAAAAAACTGATCCTCGATCTTAATTATGATTTATAGGTTTTTTTTAGCAAAGATAAAATAAATGAATTGAAAGTGACCATTACGCTACTATAAAAACCTATGCAGCTCTTTGCCGGACGGTATCACATTCATTAAAATTCCCTCATCCGTTGAACAGATAAATCAAACGGTTTGTTTTACGTAATTCGAAACAATATTTTATGGGGTAACATCGTTTTTCAATTTTCCAGCCATTTAATATATTTTCTCTTCGGTTTGCTCAAAGAATTTATGGATGAATGGACGGAAAAATCGTTTTCTTATTTTCTTATTATTTTTCTATAAATAATTTCGAGAAGGCATTAGTTTATGATATAATCGAATATTTATAATTAATAATTTCTTCATATTATTTTTAGCTAATTCACTAGTTTTCGTGGTCTGCTTGACCAATTAATATCGTTCAATTAATTAAGGTTTTTAGTTGAGATAAAAAAGCTAGTGTCACGAGCGGGATTCGAACCCACGACCTTCGGCTAGATACGCCGCTACTCGAACCACTGGAGCTATCGTGACTTCGATTCACTCGGGCACTAACTTCCCGTCTCAGCCCCCATTATTTTCAGCATTAAATGATTTTTGCAATATATTTAAAAAAAATCTCTTTACCCTATGGTACCTCTTGATTTCTTGATTTATCAGTTGATATAACGAAATTGGGGGGACTGACTATCTTCTAAGCCGATTTAATCAGCATATAACAGTAATATGATATCTCTATTATTTAATGTAAACACCATAAATTAAACAATACACTCCTTGCCATGTCGGTTTTTAAACATTTAATTAAACAAAATTTCCATCTTTTTACAATAATTTCAAATCTTTACCGATCTCCGGATAAGCCATTTAATTATTGACTGAGTAGTTATCAGTCATGTAAAAAGAAAAAATATCAGTGAATGGAATGACGCGATTAAAATAAATTGGTTAAGCACGGATTAACGACCTAACATAACATATTTATGTTTTATGTAACGATAGCGTTTAAAGTGATTTTTTTCTCGATTTTTTAAAAACCAAAATAAATATTCTTTAATTAAATCCAGGAGATATCGAAAAATTTCAATTTTAATTAGAACCCAAAAAATTGTGTTTAATTGAATTTTAAGACGAAAATTCCAAAAAATGAACAGAAAAACATTATTTAAACAAGTTCTTCAAAAATAATCTTTACATTTTGAAACCTTAAGACTGTACAAACAGATTTTTACAGTCATTTGCTTTTATTGATATGAACTATAAATGACAATAGAAAGTCAGAATTTTTTGAAAATTCTGCCACCAATGAAAATTGGGAATGATAATTTTCTTCCTAGTTAAAAAAAAAAATCCATCATGTTGGCGATTTAACTAATGTGAATTTGGCCAAACAAATAACAAGGACTTTTTGAAAACATAATTTTTAGCAGTTGTTCGTCTCTTGTGTGGCCGCCGTTCAAAGGAACAGGATCAACCAAATTTTATTTCATATCAGTAGAATTTTAAAAATTTCTGATCAGGTTTCTTCCTATATTTACTTATTGTTAAAAGCCAAAATAAAAATTCTTTAATTGGAGATGTCGATGTATGTTTTTTAGAAACACTTTTGGAATTGCACTCGAGAGAAGGCACAAGAAGAAAAGGAATTTTCATAAACTTTCCATAAAAAGAAGGTACAAAAAGAAAAAGAATATTTCAGTCTTTATGTTTCAGAAATGAGTAAATCTAGGAAGAAACATGATCAGAAATTTTGAAAATTCTACTGAAATGAAATAAAAGTTGGTCATTCCTAATCCTGCATGAGGTGTCACAAGAAAATAAAAAAAATTCTTCCTAAAATATGAAAAGAAAAAAATCAGAATTATTCTTAACCTTTGGAATTGACCGAAATATACTTCCTGTATGAATAGAAATATTTCGTCCACATTAAATGAATTCAATTAAATGAAAACGGAAACTGTTAAAATTTAAAAGCCATAACTTTTTCCCAAAAAATCGTTTCATGACTCAAAAATGATAAAACCTAGGAAGTTTTCTGTAGAACACTTAAAGAATTGACACTTAAGGAAAAGAAGACCTAAGAAGAAAAAAAAAACTTTCATACATATTAGAGCTTTTATGTCTCAGAAATGAGAAAATGTAGAAAGTTTTCATTAGAAAAAAATATGGAATCGACAATTGATAAAAGAAGACCTAAGAAGAAAAAAGATCTTTTATTGATATTTGAGCTTTTATGCCTTAGAAAATGAGTAAACCTAGGAAGTTTTCTTTGGAAACACTTAACAAATTGACACTCGATAAAAAGAAAAACAAGAAGAAAAAGAAATTTTATAGATATTTGAGCTTTTATGTCTCAGAAATGAGTAAATATAGCAAGTTTTCATTAGAA